TGGACTTTGCTCTGGACAAAACTTAATACAACCCTGTGACGTGCCACAGGCCGGGAGCATAATGATTTGTTTCTTAAATGTTATTGCAAAAGTCAACAAATCATTGCTGGAGTAATAAAGGAGAAGGTTGGGAGCAGAGATTTGTTGTCACAGCAGGTTTTCCAGTACCTAAGAAATGTAGTTTCAGAACAGAAATCACTTGCTTTTCATTGCCTGACCCACTGAAAACATCACAACATCCTGCCTGATTTTCTCTTCGCATTTCTCTTCATTGGTGTTTTGGCATCTGAAGGAAGAAACAGTGTGGAGTGTGAAAAATCTACCTTGATTTCTGTGCTACGCAGGGAGGTGAGTTTTTGAACAGCATCTTTTAATGACTATGGTGTTTTTAGGAGAAAGTATGAATCACTGAAATACATAAGCAATCCTGTTTAAGTACCACAGGCTGGGAGCGTAAGGATTTGTTCCTTAAATGTTACTACAAAAGTCAGCAAATCATTGCTGGAGTAATAAAGAAGAAGGTTGGGAGGAGAGATTTGTTGTCACAGCAGTAAATGGAAAACGGGATGAAATTTCCTAACTTCCTAAGTTTTGTAAAGTGCAGTTTTAAAAGGAAATTGAGAGAGTTGCTATTAGCTCAGTTTTTATACAATTTTCTAATGTTTATTTTACATGCCTGGACACACAGGACAAAAAAATGCCATTTTCCTGGCAGCCAGAGTGTAGCAACCGTCAGTGGGGACCCCCAGGGAAGGGCTGTGTCTGCTGTGAAGCCAGGAGACCCCACTGGATGGAGCTTGGCCACCATAGACAATCTGAGGATCTAGTCTGTCCCTTACAGCCATTTTATAAGTATCATTATTAGTTGAAGATTTAACCAAGTGTGGTCCTAAACCAAGAATAAGCCCTTATTTTTGATGCGGAGTGAAGCAACTAGAGAAAGCAGAGCACTGCAGGGAAGCGTGCAGGACACTAGGACGGAGTCCAGGGCTCTTGGCCATCAAGGCTCGTTGTCCACTCAATTGCTCTTGTTTAACTACAGTCATCTTTGAAGCAAATTTAATCAAACTGAAGCACAAAATAGGACAAACTCCTTCCAATTTACAGTGGATTTTTCTTTACCTGTTCAGTGTATGCTTATACCCCAGAACTAGCCTTTCCCCAACTATGAGTGTGTTCCCAGCGCTCAAGTAAACTGATGGAAGTTTGTAGACAAAGCCCAGCAGTCAGAACAAACACTTTGTTGGACCGTGCTGTCTGCGAGCAGCCTTCTGTCCTGCTTCTCCATGAGTCCCTTGCCCAGTCTCCCATCTCCCATCCCACGAGCATCTGTGGGGTATCACTGTGGGTCAGCACCTCCAGATTAACCTCACCGGTAGGGTTTATGTCTTCGTGTGTTCCCCACATTTGTAGGAACTTCACCACTTCAGACGTGGACTCCTTCTGTCAAAGCACATTCCAAGTTGCCAACAGGTTTGCAGACTTGTGACAGATGGACAAAACATGCCCAGTAGAATTGCGTAAACCTCATCTCTTTCAGAAACAAGCAGAAACCAGAGGGTTTGTATAGCCGTGACCTTTATAGCGACTACTGATAGTGACTCAGCTCGGTCACGGGGAGTGAGGACTTCTGGGCTCCTGTGCTGTGCGTGCCATTTCAGCAAACTGCAGAAAGCAGTCTGAATTTCTCAGGTGATCACTGACAATTTTCTTTCAGAACATGCTTGAAGAATGAAGAGGTTCGCCTGCGGCCCTGGACAGCGCTCTTCTCACAAGGCTCTTTGCACCTTGATGGTTGCTGCTCATCTTTTCCTCCTGGCAGGTACAGCAATTCCCCTCAGGATTAACCACAGGGATGGTGTGGCTCTGGGCGTCCCCCAGCCCAGGGGATGTCTGCTGGTTTCCTGGCTTGTGCACACACAGTATATCTATACAGGACCCCACTTTCCTCTTGTTCTGCTCCAGTGCAGCAGTTATTCTTGCTCTGGACCTCTCCCTTCTCACTGCAACTGGTGCTGGGGTCCTTGTGTATCACACATCCCTGAGCACGTGTTGGCCTGCAGACCTACAGGTCTGGGCATGATGCACACCCTCTCCTGGGATGCTGGTTCAGTCTGGGCCGCAGATGAGTCAGTGCGCATGAGAAAATATGGCACGGAGTGAAATGTCAGGTCCGTGTTTGGAGGTGAAAAGCCTCTTGGTTTTGTCATTATTCACTTGTTTCCTTCCTGGGTGTCTTCCTGCATTTCTGTATGTTTTTTTCTAGTTTTACTTCGGTCACTGTAAAGTAAAAGCTGTGCATTTGCTTGCTTCATGGTGTTCTGAGAAAAGCATGAAGCTACCGGCAGAACTAAATTCCCCAGCAATGATTCAGGACCTGAGACAAACACAGTAAGCTGTGCTTCATGAACACACTCGGCACCCTTTCGCTCCACCGTAAATCCCAGCAAAACAATAATTAGTTCTATGTTGGTTTTTGTATTTCTTTCTTTCACTTCTCCTCAGGAACATTGCAGGGCACAGAGATAATTCACGCTTCTAAAATGCACCCTGTTGCACTGGGGTCACTTCCAGCACACAGTGCAGTCGAGGAAAAAATGAACTCTTTCCAAGTAAAACCTCCATAATAAAGACTGAATTAATGCCTTGGTCTTGCCAAATTTACCCAGCTTTGGCCAGAGGCTCCTAGTGTATCTGCTCTAAGGCACTGGTGGTCTGGTCGCTCGTGGGATGAGTAGTAGTTCTCCCAGTTGTACATCCCACAAGGATTCCCATCTCTTGGATGGACCCATGGGAAATGACTTCTTACCCTTTTGGGTCCTGCAGCTGCAGCCGAAGTACAGCTGAAGGTGGCTGCTGCATTTGCTTGTGCTGCAAAGAATTACTCACTGCTTGAGCTGTACTGGAGTAGCTACACCCACCTCTCTGCATCCCCTACAGCTCCACCACGGATCTCCTCCCGCAGTACCAGCATTGGCTATGTGTCACAGATGGAGTGATGCCCTTCACTTGTAGATAAAAGCACCGTTACATTTATTGATATAAACCAGGGATTTATCAAAGTTTGATAGTAAATGTGGCAGTGTTTTAACAAGATCTGATGACAAGGCACACTTGGTTATCTACTGTGTAGAGGACAGGGTCAGACAGAGCTGTCAGGGAGACCCTCCCATTGAGTGGAGGTTCAGAGAGGACCCCCTTGCTTTCTAAACTCCTCCTCAGAGAGGAGTCTGGCTGTGGCTGGATTCAGTCCTAGTCCCACACTTGGTCAACAGTTTATGTCTAAAAAATTATGTATGTGCAATCAATCCTTTACATCACTTAGGTAAGATTTCAAAGTTCAGCATGCTCTTAGTCACCTACTGAGGATCTGTTGTAGTAAGGAATCTCTGAATCTCAATAAGTAACCTTCAGCAGTGTCCCTACTCAGGGGGAGATCCTGGCGTGCAGCTCACTGCCGTAAAGAGAGCTCAATGGGCTCTTGGGCTGTTCACTATTTATGGGGGCAAGATGATTGACTTACAGTCATATTTGCATATTGACCACAGTACCAGTATGGTGGTTAGGTGGGCGCATTGGTCAAGTCAGCCCTTGGCTATTGTGTTGTTATCTGTCTCCCCGAAACCCTGTTGAGCCGGGTGCTGCCATCACGACTACATGCACCCATGATAACCACCATGGGTGGTTATCGCTTGGGCAGGGTCATGGGAGACAAAGGTCAGGTTGGTGGTGGAGCACACCATCACACCATGAGATTTTATGTGCTTGTTCCCACTAAGGCAGAGGCTGGTGTGCCAGTGGAGAGGTGCTAAACTCCTGACCCACCCAAGGGTCTCCACCGAACGGGTGTTGTACACTGCTGTGCTGAGTCCCACGCACCCCCACTCAAGGGGAAAATAATTCTCTTGGGTGCAAACTACCATCACAGTGGTGGAAGCAGGACCAGGATGTGGATACATGCTCCAGAACACACTGAGGTGCTCGGTGGAGCTGATTTTAGAACTGAGACAGACATGAAAGACAGCAGAGTGTTGTTATGTGGAACAAATATTCTCTTTACGCTTCAAGTGCACAAGGTTATGCAACGCACCACTTCCGATCACTCCATGGATGGATCATTTCCTACTTGCCTCCAGTCTGAAGCCTGTGAAGCAGATGGGGAGAAGTGCCAGCTACTTTTGCAATCCCTGATGTGCATAACCTTTATTAAAAGTGCAAATAGTCACTGGAGATTTATTGGTCAGGTTGGACTTGGGGGATTTATAATACCTGATTTGCATGGCTGGCAAGCAGGTTTTGGAAAAATTTAAATTCATTTCAGGAAAATGCTGTAAAGACAGCCCCCAGATGTGATTATAAAAGACTTCATGGAAGTTCTTATCTAGAAGAAATATATCCTGAATTATTGAAGCACCTGTAAACATGTGAGCGTAATGACAAATTAAAGATGCAGATCGGCTGCACAGGAGGGGCCTGGGTTACAATTTGAGTCTGATTAATTTTTCCCACTCTGATGGTGCATATGGGGCCACCTCACCCCCTACAGAAACACTCTGTCGGTGGCAGATGGAGCTGGTGGAAAGGTTGGCTCCTGCCTTCGGTGACCGTGTGCTGCTGTCTAACCGTGTTGCTTGTGGACCGGTGCTGCTCCATGGCTTTGTGCAGGTCCACAGAGGTTCATGCCTGGGGAAGGGACTTTGTCATGGCTGGCGGTGACGGCAGTGGGACCTGCTGAGTAGGACACCACGGCAAATCCAGGAGCCAGAATGGAGAGACGCATCTTAGCATGACACTGGGCTGCCTCCTGTCCAGATGTACAACAGACACTTCATGTGGAGAGAAAAGCCCAGATAAGCAGTGAGAGACCCTCCATAGCTTGCTGGTGCCCCTGCCAGACTGCTCCAGGGACCACGGGTGGCTGAGCCAGAGCCGTCACAGCTACTACTCTGCTACTCTGCAGTCAGAGCTGGGACCACGTGCGGGCAAGTTACTCACTGCCTATGTCGGTCTGCGGTTAGTGTTCCTCAGGGAGGCTGTCTCTGTCAGCAACACCTTTTGAGTAGGTTGTAAAGGTATAATGAGAGAATTTAAAGTAATGAAGAAAAACGGTGCCCAGACAAACTCTCCAGAGCCTGAGAAAAGGAAAACCATTATGATTTTTATTTTTAGCAGAAACCTTGACCCAAAGCCTGAACATCTGGGGTGGGACATATCACCTGGGAGTGAAATCTGCAAGCTATTCATTTCCCAGAGTGTGCTGAACCAAGACCTTTGCACTGGACACCTGTACTGATACTGGATCACGTGTACCCTAGACCTGAACTCTGTGTTGATTCCTATTTGGCATGTCTTGAGGATTTCAACTGTTCCTTTGCAGAATTAAACTCATCTTCTCTTTACTGGTAGTGTGAGTGGTCTCAGAATTAAGTTTCAAAGGCAGCAGAAACTAGAATAGAAGAAACTTTTAATTTTTTAATCAACATTAAGGGAAGTACCCGAATGAGGTCATATTGCAGCTTTTCCTTTGAAAGTGACACTTTATTTCCCTTCTTTACCCTCTCTCCTAATGCTTTTTTCTTACAGAAACACGTTCTCTGCATGGAGAAAGACTGGATTTACTGGGAAGGAATGACAAGTACGTGTCTCTTATCAACTACAGCATCCCTCAGCTATGTCAGTTCACGGTGTGCATTGACCTAAACCGGACAGCCAATGTCAGCTCTTGGGCAGCGTTTTCCTACGACACTAACAATACCTCCACTGACATAAATGACATAGAGCTCGGGCTCTCTGGAGAAAACAAGCAGTTGAGATTGTATCTTTTTGGCACCAGACGAGACATCGAGATCGATCTGGCCCTTTTGGTGTGGTATAGTGTGTGCTGCTTGTGGGACAGCAGGAAACAACTGCTGGAGGTCTACTGCAACGGTGGTCTTGTGCACACCGAAACCATTGGCAGCGCTGAGTGCCTGAAACCCAACGGTAGCCTGGTGCTGGGTCATCTGCACAAAAGAAAGGATGGCTTTATTGTGCGGGTGAGCAACAGCTTCATTGGCAGCTTGTACTACTTCCAAATGTGGGACCATGTGATGGGTCGGGAAGAGCTGCTGGACTGTGCCATGGGCAATACTGTCAGCTGGAAGGAAGACTACTGGAACTTCAGCAGCATCCTTCCCGTTGCAGACCGTCACCTGCGCTGTGGTGAGTCTTTGCTATATTTTCTCTTCTTGGGGCTTGCGTGTTGCCGAGGATCACAGACAGAGAGTAGGGAACCCTCCGCTGCTTAGGAATTGTCTGATGGCTTCTGAGTCACCGCTGCTGTGATTGAGACGAGGAATGGACAGAGCTGTAGCTACACACGTGACATTGCCTGCTCACCCCACCCACACAGGCTCTTCTTGAAGCAGATACAGAGGTTGTGGATGAGGGAAGGGTGGCAGGGGCAGGCTCTGCCACCAAAGTCCCCTGGAGGCTGCTGGCAGGTGGCATCTTTTAGATGAACCTTCTAGTGGTTCATCCTTCTGCTGGGGCACCAACCTGCTACTCAGCTGGGCTGGCACTGGGTGAGGTAGGTTGGACACAGAAATTCTCTTCCAACGTGTTTAACAATATTTAACTAGAGCCATTAGTTAGGTGATGGTAATAATTTTTCTGCAAGACTCCTGTCTGTTGTACGCCCTAAATGGATGTTGCTTCACTGGAAAACACTCCTTAGCAGTGTTTTGTGTTATCCCATCATTCGATCCTGATATCTGTATGTACCACACAGTATTTAAACTGCACAGTATTAAAACAGGACCGAGGTTGACTAATTGACTGATTGACTGACTAATTTACACAAAGCCAATGACATGCCATGATATTTAGGTGTTCCACCACAGTAGTGAACGCATCTTTACTAATCCTCTATAAGATGATGGCTTCACAGGGAAAGCAGAGGCACAGTCTGAAGTAATCGGTCATTTCTGATGTCCAGTTTGGGAATCCAGGAGCGTCCCATCAGACTGCACGTCTCCATCGAGTGCAGCATCCGCTGCCTTCACCGCAGTTCCCACCGTGCTTTCCCATCTCCTGTTCCAGGTTTCATCCAACCAGGGCCCAAGGCAATGAGAAATGCATCAGGAAATCACCGACTGCCGCTGAAACCTGTGCTTGGAGGGATTTCCCCCACCTCCCTCATTGCACACCCCCTCGCTCTGCACCGAAGAACACAGGCACTAATAACAATTGCTGTAAATTACAACCTTCCCATCTGTCTCTTGGCTCCCTGCCCCACTGCCTTTATCCAGGCAGTCCTCCTTCTGCACTGCATCTTGCCAGAGCTGTTTACTCCCCGCTGTCCCAGGCTGGGGGGAGGGACGTGATCTGATGAGGAGGGAGGAGGAAGGCTCAGTTTCCCTTTTCCAATTAACACCTTTGCCCTTGGGCCCATTCGCTCTGTGGGAAAGGTGTGTGCTTGGCTTGGCAAGGAGTTGTGAGAAGCTTAGTCAGGTTTGCTGATGAAAAGTTTAGAAGCTAAAATCAAAGCCTCCACTCAGTGTCCCCGGAATTTGATTTTTCAAAAACAATAACGTGGACTAATTTGAGCAGCTTTTTAGTGAGACCAAGCACATTAGAGAGAGGCTTGCAATGGTCAAAGCATATTTTCCCCCCAAAGCAGTCCCCAAGACCCAGGTGATTTCCCCTACTTAGGATTCTCCAGTGCAGCCTGAACTGGACATTCAGTCTGGAAAATGCTGACCCAAATATTCAAGGGTTACCAGCAAGAAGAAACAGCAGCGTGACTCACAAGTGATGAACTACACCAACAGGCACCAGGGTCAGTCTTGCCCGTGGTGCCGTAAGCCGTTGGATCTGCACTGGGAGAGGGGTTATTAGAATCTGACGTTTTCCCAAGAGCAATAACTAAGATGACTGTTGTGAGGTCCTAGTTATAGAGATGTTCATAGAATTTAATCACGTTTGAAAATCTGTCATGTGTCAGATCTTGGCAAGACCTTTGTTTCCACTATACATCTTACTCTTACTTTAATTAATCGAAATTCATGGAGACATACTGATGATACAGTAGGTAGGAATAACAGTGAGTGGTGTAAACACATACTGAGATTTATGTTCTGTCTATCAGACAGGGGAAGCTGCACCTGCCTGTAGTTTGTATGGATTGTCTATACGGGGTCATACATATTGAGTCTACCTGAGAACATCTGGAGCACACATATAAGAAACAGTTGTGCCAGAGTGTTGCTGTGTAATGAAATGTCACAGGGAAGTGCCATTTCAATGCTGATGTCATGACTCAAATTGGTTCTTATGCCCTATGACAATTACTAGCTGCAAGGTTTGCTTCTGGTGTTTATATACGTTGTTTATAGTCCTGTTCATTGTTCGGTTCACCTTGACAGCAGACAGTTGATGCAATTGCACTGGGAATTGGGCAACCTGCTTTGTTTTGGAAATCCTACGTTACTTTTGGAAAGCCAGGGCTCATTTAGGCGAAGTGAGTGAAACTTCTCATATGAATGCAGCAGGAAGCAGCCTTAAGAAGGTGTGTTGACTTTTTATAAGTGATATAAATATCATAGCAATTGCACTGGCTTCACTTGATAGCAGGAGTGAAGTTATTGTTCTGCCTTTGCTTTTTTCCCCAAATTCTTGAAGATGATCCTTTACTTTTCCAGCTCAGCCAGGCCTTTGCTAAAAGTTTAGAAGTAAAAGTGTGTGTTCTCATCCTCTTACTGACTCACAGTCTTCATCTCTTCCTCCCCCTACCCCACCCACACACTGATTCCTGATTTTCTTCTTAATTTTAAATAATCTGGGAGAGGGATGAATATACAACATCTGAAAATGACTGCTAATAATATAAAATATGTATTTATTACAGTTCTCTTATTGGTTGGTCTATTTTTTGCTGCTTTTCTGTTGGAAACCATACATTTTTACAGGATGCCAAATAAACCATTTATTAAATTATCAAATCAAAATCCATGACTAGGACTTTAAAAATGTCAGTGGTACAGTATTTTTCTAGCTTCAGATCTCATCTGTCATCACTCCTTAGCCCTCACTTCGTGAATGGAATTACATGCATGTTAATTAAGCAAATGAAGTTACAGGATGCAGGTGGCTAGTCCTACACCTGCCTGCTGGTAATGATCTTTGACGTGTGAGAATAAACAGATTCTTTTTTCTTCAGGTGATAATGAGAAAGAGAAAGAAATAAATTAGAATCTGCGAAGTTGTAATTATACTTCATTTGTCAGGAGATGAGAATGGCATTGGGAGTTACCTTCCTGATTAGAATGGGTTTGGGTTTTGTTTGGCCATTTCTCTATAATTTTTTTTCTTTTCCCTAGCAGATTTTTCTGATTCATCCTGGCTGACACTGGGTGATATCATACATCACCCCTGAGGCAACGGTTTTGAAACATTACACTGATAACAACAGGAACAGAGAGGAGCCTGTAATCACCCATCTCTATGCAGATCGCCCCTATCTGGAGAGGATCTGCAGCACTCTAACAGCCAGGAGGACAAGGCAAACCCTAGGTGTACCAACAGTTTGGTTATGGCTTGACAAATCATAGCCTAATGCCATGTCTGTATTTCTATAAGAAAAGAAAAAAGAATTTATTCCAGTGATAGGGGATGTCTGCACTGCACTGGCCCTCCGCATTCTCCTCACACTCCCTATATGGCAGCAGATCTTAAAAAAGCTTATAACAAGATGCTGATTTTCTGTCAGCTTGAAACCAGGGACTAACTAGTTGTAGTATCCCACTGGGGCTCAGAGGACCCATCTCTGCCGCTTCGCACCACGGGAAGGTATATGGGTTTCCACTAGAAGTTTAAACTGTGGGATTAAAGTCACTGGAGATGCTGGAATAGCTGCCTCTCCGCAGCACTGGAGGTCAGGTACTCTGGGTTTTGCTCTTTGTGTTCTCAGGGCAGCGTGTGTTGTGAGGACGGGGAGGGCTTGGTGTACGCGGGTGCTGGAGGAACAAGCACAGCCCCTTAATTTCAGGACCTTGCGTTTTCTTTAGAGGAATTGTTTTCCTTTGTCTCTAGGTTTTGCTTTTAATTCTGTAGATACTTCTGGTTTCTTGTTTTCTGCATATTCATGCGTATGTCAAACCATGTTAGTAGCTATTGGTAGGAGGTCTGTATATTGAATATCTCGGTCTGTCTTGCAGCTCGATGATCTAAGCCTGCGGATCTTTTCCAAATAAAGAATCAGCAAATAGCCATTATGTCAGGTCATGTTTCTGACCTACTGCAGGCAATGTGGCAATGAAGTGGCAATGTGGCAGCTTGCTGCTGGACTTGCTAGCGTTTTAGTGGAAGAGTGAAGCAGAGTAAATTAGTCCTCTTATTTCCAACAGTTTAGTACCATCTCAGAAGCAAAAGGCCTGAGTAAAGAGGAGAGACGTCCAAATGAAAAGCTAAGACTTGTCAAGCACCATGGCAAAAGCAGGCTTGCCATTTCGACAGCTTTCTGTATCCCCTGGGAGCAGCAGGGACTGCGCTACTAAGAGCACTGCCCTGCAAACGCAGGTTGCTGGAGAGTTTGATCTTTGGAACAGCCCGAGCATCTTTTCCACACCCCATCCCACTGCCTTCAGCTGCGGAGGAGCGTCCTGGCTCAGCTCTCCGCCAGCTCTGAGCCTCTGCTGATGATACGACTGGGGCTGAAACCCCTGGTTCCTAGGTCATGAGATGACACCAAAACACAGACTGGAACCTCCGAGGAGCATTTGGAGGCGGCAGGTCTGAGTTGAATACTGAAGGGTCTGAGCTTGCTCTGCAAGAGCCAGCCTTGGAGAGACAACTCAGAGCTGGACTTTCAATAGCTTTATTGTCCTCTTGAATATCTTGAACTTGTCCATGAAGCTAGAACTCGGAAATTGCTCCGGTTTGACCTTGTGCTGAGTGCACAGGCTGTGGCTTAATGCAAAGGGTAAAATTACTTGTTCGTCTAGGAAGCAGAACCTTGTAGCGCGCCTGTTCAGTAGGGGCTTTTGACTTCAGCTGTCCTTTCAACTTCACAAAATAATTTGAAGGTATTTAGGATAAAAATAGGAGGCTTCAAGTTGTTAACAGCCCCTGTTTCTGTTATTGTACATGGATGTATTGCCACTGATTTGAATGGGTCAGAGATGGGCTGTTGCATTTTAAGCATGGGTGAGTCTCCTTACCTTGAACTGCAGTAGAAACAACAATGTTTTGTGAAGCGTGGCCTTATCCTATTTATTTGCAGCCCCACTCCTTATTCATAGACATTTGGCTTTGTATTCATATGTTAAGTTTATTTCTCTTAGTCAGAGCTAGAATGTCAAGTCTCTGACAGTCATGTGAGTGAATAAAAAACCCACCAATTACCAGCATAGCAAGGAAACCGTACCTCTAGAGCAAAATGTTGTGATCCTGCTTTTCTTTCATCACGGAGGCCTGTAATGTTATACGGTGATTCGGTTCACTGCAGTTTTCTGTAGTACATGTGACAAGCGTCACCCGTTTTGTCCCTGTCTGCCTGGTGATGTGGCAGATTGCATGTGAAATGCAAAAATCATATCTGCTTTGACAAGGTGATTCACTTCAAGGAAAATTAGCTACCAACGAATTCTCAGAATTCTTTACTTTGAAAACAACAGGCAGGATGGCCAGCATTTTTCATGGGAATCCTTATGCCAGGTTATCATTAAACTGGAGACCATGAACATCAATGTTCATCTCACATTTGCTGCTGCACGTTAACCCGTTAGCATTCAGTGTTTGACAAATGCCTTTCCTGAAGGCTGGCACAGGTTACACCAGCAAGAAGGGAACAGAGAGATAACTGCTCTTCAAGAGGAGCAATGAAAAAAGATAACATCGCATAAACTCTGGTCTGCCTTGTGACCTAAACTCTGCATATCCTGTTTTCTCCTTTGTTACACTTTACTCTGGAGAAATTAAAAAAAAAACACATGTAGGTGTATTTTCCCCTTTTGCCTTCACCCTGCAGAGGTCAACAGCAGCTCTTTGTTACAATGACCTTCCCTGAAGAACCCATACCACCCTCTCACCTGGACTATGCTCTTCCTTACACTTTTGCCACAGTGGATTTTTATGCCTTTTGATGTTCCTTTCAGCAGGCTCGAGTGAAGCACCGTCAACAAGGGCTCCTACGCTGCTCCCATTATCTCCAACCAGTAGTACCAATGGTACCATTCCACGTAAGTGCTGAACGAGGCTGTTTTAAATGCTGACATGACCATCACTGACACTGGTTGACACCACACAGGTGACAATTGAAGACTCAGTCACGTTTCGGCTATTGCTGCTTAGCAAGGTGTTGTACGTCACCAGATCCCCCTATCTCTTCCTATGCATTCTCCTCAGCAGGCAGTAAAAGCCAAGCTAGTGTGCCCACAAGTACAAACCACAACTCGTTTGTTAAGGTGTGACAACTTGACCGTGTGTTCGGGCCCTGAGGCTCTTGAATGAAATTTCTAGCAATGCAGCAGTAATCCAGACTCGGACACTTGGAGCATGGGATTTCCCAAAGAGCCTCGGTGGCCGTGGGAATGGGAAACATTGAACGGAGGGGTCAGGAGATGGGAAGGGGCGCAGGCGCCCCTCTGTGCAAACGACAGGGTGCATCTCACTTCTCTTCTCTCCTTACAGTCAGCTTCTTTAACGTTGACATGAACTTCTCTCTTTTCTACAAAACGGCGAGAGCTCCCGATTACTATGATGCAAGGAAGCTTCTTGAAAACTGGGTGAGTAGCTTCCTTTTCTCATTCTTGTGTATTTCTAGCAAGTATCAGACGATGAGGACAGCTGGTACAGAATGCAAACTTATGGGACAACATAGAAATGAGTAGCCACGTGACAATATTGTGGCATTTCAGAATCATGTTATCCAACGCATTTCTAACAGGATAAAATTAAATTCAGAAGGAAGAGGAAAGTGTTGACATTTTGCAAACATTTTTAGCCATTTTCATTGGGATTTAGAATCTTGATGACAAGTCTAAATTTACAAGCAGGTCTAGATAAAGTATCAATAAATCAAGTTAATAAAAATGTTGTTTTCTTTCCAGTTCAGTGTCATATTTACTGGAGAAGAATTTGCTGTGACAAACTTTAAAGTCAGGTAAGCCTCTGGCTGTATAGTGGTGTCACCTTGACCCTCTGTCCTTTGAGCAAAATTGCAGCCAGGTTCCAAATACCCATTTCACAACTGACCAGTCCCGTGACAAGGGTGTAAACCAAACCCCCAGATCTGTGCAACTGTGATCATGTGGAACGCTCCCATTTTGTTTACTGGGCTCATTCACCTGAAAATATATATCCTGCCTAATGCAAGGCAAGTAGCTGCTGCCAAGCTGAGACCTCATCTTGGGCCATAGAAATTGGTTGACGATGAAGATGAAATTTTTGCTGCCTCTGCAGCGTGTGAGCAATGCGTCGTGTGGGCTGATGTATCTGTTGTGCCATCCTGGCAATTCAAAAAGAACAGCAGTTGGTACTTGCGGGCACCGGTACCTGCAGGGTTCAGTCACACTAGTACTGCTGAAGTCCTGTTTCGGCGATTGCATGTGAATGCCAAGGAGTTTACAGGTCTCATCCATCCGCAGAGTGAGGGACATAGGCCCCGGAGGGCTGTGTAAGTAGGTACATACTGGCTCTTGTGTGGCAGTGTCTAATGAAAGGGTATTGTTCCAAACCCCTGCTCAGAAACAACGGTTTGTTGCACAAGACTCCTCTATTTCATACCTTTTAGCCCAATCCAGCTGTATTCATATCCCAATGGTGAGCAGCTCAGAGGTATATTTAGCAATTCATAGAAGTATCACTTGTACAGACATGGCGTTTTATCATTTTATGCATATTTTGGCTTCCTACTTTCTTCTCCAACTTCCACAGTTACCGCTTGCTTTACAAATGACAATACAGTAACACACTGCACTGTTTAGATGGGGTAAATCCAGTTTGGAGAACTGTAAGAGAAGAGCGGGTCCCATTCTGGAAGAAGCATTTTTTGTCAGGGTGCATATCTGCTACAGCACATGGTTGTGGCGATTTATGTAGATACACCTATGCAGAATTAAAGATGACTTCTCTGCTGCAAGGTCTGGCTCATTGCTGTTGTGAGATTTTTTTTTTTTACATCATAGCAGAACAGGGCATGTTATATTTATATGCTTACTATGAAATAACTAGTCTATTCTCTTTTGCTTGCAGGGGTAATTATCCACAAAGCAATGTCTATAAGAGGACTCATGTATGTAATTTGTTATTTTCTGATTTAGAACCTTACTTCTGCACAGAGGATATAGTAGTTGCATGGCCTAAATGCTGATACTATTGTATTTTGCTGAAATTATTAAATATTGACCTTCAGTCTGGTAGGTGTATCCCATGTAAATAGTTGGGCTGGAGAGCCACTGTGTCTCAGTAGATCCTGATACGTTCTGTGCAGACAAAGGAATGCTGGATGTGCCCAGCGCTATCTGCAATAGCCTTCCGGTGAGCGTCAGATATAGATCTGCTCTGCTCTCTGCATGAGGCAGCATCAATGCACTATGAGGTTCTGTTTTATCCTGATGTACCTCTAGAAGTACTGTGAAACAAAGGCTACCTAAGAGAGTCGGGTCTTAATAATATTTAAAGCAAGAGGGTCTATTTTAATGAGCACACTAAGTTTCTCCTGTTTGCTTTCCTTAAAATCCAACTTGCACCAGTTGATTTTAACCAGCTTCAAACTTTTTGTTTCCTTCTATGCAAACTGACGATGAAGGTAAAGCAGATGGCACAAAGGTAAGACCCGTGGTTATGAGCTGGGTTTCCATAGTTCACACTGATTTCATTTTTAGGGTGAGGAGGAATTATACTCCTCGGCTGTTTTAGTTTCAGAGTAACTGTGGAAACTTTAGGTGTCTAAAACAGCAAAGCACAGTAATGCTTGACTTTGGGAAATGTATTAGAGCATCCCAGGTTTCCCTCTCATACCCTGTGTCTTCAGAGGCTCAAAGTGCTTCCATGGCCAGCCAGGAGGTTTGCACTCAATATAAGAGCTGGCTGTGAGCAGTATCCTTCACTGGGGCCAGAACAGTGAGTGGACAATGTCCAAGAAGTCTGCCAGGGTGAATGCTGCACCTCTTCGGCAGGAAATCCTAATTGTCTTCTGACCTTAGGCCAGAAGAGAAAGGAGAGTTGGGTTCCCATCACCTTCAAGGGGTTGCAAGTGGTTTACAAAGGCTATGCTGAATGGGGAACAACTGTGGAGAAACAGGAGTGAGCTGCAAACACTTGAAACATCCCAGTCCTAAGGAAAATTAGAGGTCAGTTAAATTAGACGTCCGTTGAGATGATCCACCCACAACTGACAGCTGGCTTTTGCTTCTTTCTGCCATGTATTAAGCCACTCAAAGATTGAGATAACAGTCTTTCCAAAACTCCTATAGTCAGCAAACGTAGTTATCCAGAAGAATAGCTGTTTTGAGGAGAAAAAAGCTGGAATCCAGTGGAGCCACTGAAAGCCCTTAGTTAAATCTCGGTTTTCCAGGGAGCCTTGGAGTCTGCCACCTCCATTTGGACACAGAGGTGCTCAAGTACCTGATAGTTTTATGACTAGCTCACTCCAAACTTTAAAACATGGTTGAAAAATGCTTGAATGCTTGCTTCTGACAGAGATGTTCCTTTGCCAAGATAATGTGATTAGGAAACCTTTTGAGGTATTTGCCATGAAACTATAAATAGATCCTTGTACCTTTAGTCCCAATAATTTGTACTTTAGAAAGCATTTCCAGCGATAAGGTACTAGTGTACATAAGAAGTGGCGTTTGGTGACATTTGCCATAGGATTGCACTTATGATGAACAAAACACATACATAAATTATCCAATTCAATACAGTTTTCTGAGTTACTCATTAATTTTGTAGCCTCTTATAATTGCAAAGTGTTACCAATATGGTACCTGTGTTTGTGTATTATATTTGTAGCTATGTTTGTAAGGCCATTATAAAGGCCACTTCACTTGACATGCAAGAAGTGCTGAGTCTCAAGATCAAACAGCTGCTGAATGACACTTACGAAGAGGGATCATTATCCTTATATGTGAAACCTGAAGATGTGGCTGTCAAGCCAATAGGTAACATTTCATTAAAACCTCATTGAAATCCTATGCTTTGTAACTCTGGCTACAAGTGTTTTATCTAATTGAAACTTTGTGGAGAGATTAGGGCTAGAAAGCATCCCCACAAGCAGCCTGACTGACCTCATCCGATGCACAAGATGTAGAACATCATGCAATGACAGCATGATCAAAAACTTGGGTTCCAGACAAACGGAGGTGAGCTAAAACTTGAATCCTGGGGCTGAGGCAGGTCTGAGCACCTCTGTAGCGAAGGGAAGGTGGGGCTGATGCTGCTGCAAACCCAGGGGCTCCTGCTCATAGCCAGTGCCCCCGAGCCTGGCTTGTGGAGGGAGAGTGGAGCCAGACACCGAAAACAAACCCATTGCTGACATTCTCTTAATGCCAGTGCATATTGGATCAAGCCTCAGAGAGCAAATAATCTCTTTGTTGGTTTGGTTGCAATCTCTATCGCTCCTGAAAACACAGAAGTAAGCCAAAGATAAGAGCTACCAGACTGTACCTGAAACGCAAAAGCACATTTTATAAAGAAGACTTACAAAAGATCAGCTGCAGACAACAAAACTACAAGCCTGGAGGAAAGGCACTGATGGGATAATGAGGGGCAGTGTGAAAGCACCTACAGATAGATTAGAGAAGCCTGCAGGATGTACTGCCATTAGATACAGTTTGTGATGCTGGGAAACTAACACTTTACCTGAGAACTGACCTTGCCAAACAAAAGAGAAATAGATTGCAGAAGAACTAGACAAAATAGTTAAGCAAAATGTTTTCTTGCAGCCAGTAAACTTGTAAAATACTCCTAGCCAGTCTGCAAATTACAGCTCATTCCCATCAGGAACGGAGGTCCAGAGAACAGCTGGGTCCCTGGGTGTCAGGAGGGGGGGTGTCTTCTTTTTGACTATCAAATCTTTTTAAAGAGCTTTTATGTATTTCTTCCCCAGCACTAATGGATTGTCCAGAAAGCTTTTCACACACAGCCTACAAGGGGAATTATTCCTGGCCGCTAACAAGTCCAGCTACCAAAGCGGAGGTCAGCTGCAGGAAAAACCCTCTGCAGTCTGCTCAAAGGAGCTGGTGAGTGAGGAGATCATCTCATTTTGGTTCTTCCACGGGAAACAGGAGGGAGGGCCAGCCTTGGTGGGATGGGAATCCAGATGGCAGTCTGTCACAGCACACGGCAGCGCCGTGCCAAGGAAGATGGAAAGTATACAGGGCCAGTCCGGCACGGGCTGCAGGAAAAGGGAGTGTTGCACCGTTTCCATCACCTGCAGCCCGTGCAAGCCCGCCTAGTAGGAAGCTGAGTTCCTGCTTGAGCAGGGAGGGGAAAGAGATGCACTGTGGCCTTTTGTGCCATCCCTTCTTGGCTCTCTGCCCTCCAGTACCTCCAGATGCATTTCAAATTGCCCTGGCATTTGGGCTCTGCTCCCACTCTGCTAAATGAGTGCTAAGCCAGATTTGACTTGCAAGTCAGTTTGCAAAATTGGGGTAATTAATTACATTTTTAGCTACTTAAATGGGAAATATGAGAAACATAAATTATTACATATATTTTCTTGTAACGATGTACGCTGTTTTCATTTTTCAGTGCAATTAATATTGAACTTGAGCAAGCTTTCTGGAAGAAACCAACTATGACTGAATGTAAATTACTGGAAGAACTCCCAAATAATATTTTAGACCTCCATGATATCACGATAACAGACGGTAAGGCACCAGATGCTTCAGTGACACAGTGAATCAAAGTAAAAATAGTTATACTTAGATAACGCTTCTGTTGGACATCTGAAGAACTGAAGTGATAAGGTTGTTTTATGTGTGTCCTCCTCACCTGGTCATCTTAAAGTGTTTTTAACGTAGATGAATTTTGCAGGTGCTTCAAAATTCTCTAGCTAGCACTTTGAAGACTTTTCTCAAATCCTTAGATTTGATACTTAGATTCAGAACTAAGTAAATAACCCATGAATAATGTGACAGTTTTTGCCTGTCTATACTCTCTCCGCACATGAAAGTAGTTTATAACGTCTCATACAAAGAAGCACAAATCATTGTATGGAATTGAAAAAATTATGCTGTCATTCATTTAAGCTATAAGGTAATTTTTACCACTTGATTATACTTTTTTAAAGCTATGACAAACAGTGCAAGTTGTTTGAATGGTGAACAGAAACAATACCATAGCTTATCCACCTACTCACCAGTGGCATCAAATAATAGATCATTGGAAGATCTCTGCAGTTGCACACAGTCTGTCTGACTCCCAGGGTGTAAAACTCTGCTTCTATAAAAAAGATATAGAAGGATGATGAGATGATAAATAGCAAATACAACTTTTCAAACTATACCATTCAGAATTTGCTTCTGCTTCTCTAAGCAAAAGCTTGCTTAAGCAGCGTTTGGGGAGACGGGCGGATCCTGTATAATTTTGAATTCACAAATGCTTGTAAATGTGACCAAAGTTAAAACTAAATATTATTTACAGATAATCTTTATAATCCAAAAGTAGGTGATAATATTCTTATGAAAAGTACACTGGTTGCTTCCTTTAAAATAAAACCTGAGACATTCAGATTTTACTTTGAAGTTTTGCCAGTTTCATTGAGGACTTACTCACTTATTCTTCGGACATTATTTTTAACAGATCAGAAGCTTTATGACCATACAGAAAGAGAAAACTAATTCCTTGCTTTACCATAGAGACATGTAGCTATATAGCTAGACGTATAGCTATGCCACATAAATCTGTACTTTCTTTTTTTTCAGAGAATGCACAAGATGTTGTACAGCATATTTTCTACCTCTTGCCAGATGCAACACTGCATATAGAAGAATTAAAAATCATTGCAAGTAAAGTTTCTGATATTGTAAGGCTTGCAGATATGAGCGTGACACTTGCAGAGACTATATTGTCTATAATAAACTATATTTTGCTGCAAAAAATAGAAGATCAGAACATTAGAAAAATGACTAATAGGTAAGTGAGGTAACTTGCCCAGAAGTGACTTCCTAAGCTAAAAAGGCACCATGGAGTAATTCATTCAGTCTATTAAAATATCCCCGCAAGAGTTAGCAATTTCTGTACTTGGATCTTAAACATGTTTGTGGTTCTTAGCAGTAGAAATTGGTTATTGTGTTGTCAAAGGTGCTTTCACCAGAAGCAGTTCTGCAGAAGTCACCATCACAGAATTGTTCTCTGTGGGCATCTTAGCCTGGAGGCAGATCAGGGAGACTGCCTAGCTGCTATCTCATCTCATCTCATCTCATCTCATCTCATCTCATCTCATCTCATCTCATCTCATCTCATCTCATCGGTGATCTTTACAGCTCAGCAGTGAGGTCTGTTGGCAGGTCAGCCTGGAGACACATATCTGCTCCACCAGCACACCCGGCTGGAGTGCTGTACCTGTGCTGATAAAGATTTTTCAAGCATAGCTATTCCACATTGGATTTAATCTACATTTAGGATTCTACATCCGTTATGTGATTCTCACGCATGCTAAAATCGAGGTTGCTAGATAACTTTAAAAACATCTCTCTCCTTTGAGATCATAAAGGTAACTCAACTACCCGTTTCTGAAATGTCTGGCTTCTCTTGCTGAGCAGTGGACTGTTCAGAAAACTACCACCAGCCTTTACAAAGGCAAATGCGAGTACACAGAGTTTACTCATTACAGATTTGGGCAAGACAGCTCACCCACTTCTCACTGCACGGCCTGAACCTCCAAATAGGAAAGATTATTCTACTTTGCACTGGCAAATCCAGCGCTAACCAACAGCGTAAGAGATGTGGTGTTCATCATATTAAAAAGTCTTTCAGCATCTCTCATTTTAAAGACTGTGCCTATCTGCAATTTTCTCTCACTTAATGTAAAACACTATTTTAATAAGAAATATTAAAATAAGAATTATCAAAAGCAAGAAAAATGAACTTTCCACTTCTGTTGGTGGGGTACAGCCTACGCAACAGCCCAGTTGTTTGTACTGGACAACTATGCACTGCCTTTTCCAACTCAGGAGGCTGCAAGGAGGAGCAGCCAAAAATAGCTTAGAAAATCTGCCAGAGAGAAGCATTGAGTAGCATCGTGATCCTTTTGGCTGTATGCTCTCTCTTCAAAGTCTCCCGCACTGCAGTGTGTGGCGTGGGGGCTCTGATAGCTGCCAGCACTCAACACCTCTGCCTTCTCAAATAGGCTGTGTTGTTGTTTTTTTTTTTTTAAGTGAAATATCCATTACTTTGAATTCTCCTCCCATGAAATGTAAGGTTTTAGGGACAAGGATGATATTCCAATAGGCCGTGGATTCCTGATCCTTAATGGAGATAGAGTTGGTATGTACAGGTTGTAATAAAAACATCTTTACAATTTTTATGGACAGGAGAATCTTAGGTATTTTAATTTTTCCATAAATCAGACCTCAGAAGAGCACAACCGCCTGACAAGCGCTAGCATGATATCCTCACAAGAGCTAATATGTGCTTTCCTTCAGGCCTCGGTAGAAATTTTGGATCCCAGATATTTTGATGAAGTTGGACTCCAGACTTTGCAGCTCCAGGGCAGCTGTGGCTGAAAGTATCCCACAGGGGTCCTTGTGTGTCTGGGACCAATGATGCACGAAGATAACACGAAACCAAAGAAGGCAGGAAGGTTTTCCTTTAGTCTGCCGGGGCCAGCTGTCACACACATTTTCAACAGAGTATTATTGCTTCTTGCATACTGCTGAATAGCCTTAAGGCAGGCCAAACAAGATGTGGAGCTGTCTCTGACTCTTTTAATACCCATGAGCATTAAACAACCCTCATTTGCTGCTTCCTTTCGAATCCAGCTTCTCCATTTCAAAAAAAAAAAAAAAACCAAAGCACTGAGAGGAGGCCCCAGAAAGCCTGTGAAATCTCCATCCTCAGAGATATCAGAGCTTTACTGGACAAGACCTTGAGCAAGCTGACCTACCTTTAAAGTATGCTCTGCCTGGGGGACATGGGGAGTTGCAGAACAGACCTCCAGAGCTCCCTTGCAGATTAAATTATTCTGGCTCTGATCTTTTACCTGAGGGCACAGTTACATGATTGCAAATAATCAAATTAGCAGGTTTTACAAGTTACTGCCTTCCAGATGAAATGCAGTATTTGACTGGGTGCGAATTTTGACTCAGGTCTTCCCAGAACCACCTCATGTTGTCCACACAGGACGGTATCTTCCGCCTGCTAGAGCGGAACTAATTCACTAACTCAACTGCTTGCCATCACCTGACCCTGTGCCAGACAAAATGCCACCTACCCCAAAACGGACCTACTCTGCTTGAGAGATTGCTCCTTGTGATCATAAATCAGAGCAGAGGTTTTTAGCTGATTTTCTCCTGACTGCATATTATGAAGCCAGGAGAACATTTCAAGAGATGTATATTTTTTTTTCCCCTTGCTGTTGCTCTTGATGAAGTATCCTGAAGACAACTGAGGAGATAGGCTATAAAGTGACTTACACAGAAAGAAATACGTCAGTGATAACCACTTCCTTGGCTTTGCTGGTGATGCGTCCAGATCCCAGCGTGTTTGGAGGACTGGCCTTTGGCGTTACCTCCTACAACAGAGGCATGGATCTCAAGGTGAGAGCAAAGTAACACCCCAGGGACCACTCAGTAAATAAGACAATCCTCCTGCTGTTCTGTCCCGCTGTGTATTTGACCCGAGGAAGGCAGCTCTGAGCATGTCATCTCTTTCTCCTGCAGATCAATGTTCAAGAAAACCCTTTCAAAAAGGCCCTGGCCTCAGTGTTTTTGCCGAAGTCACTGAAGAAATTCTTAGGCATCGAGCACTCTGACCCAGACAAGCATTCGAAGATCCAGTTTAAGTTTTTTGGCACGACTTCACTCTTTACAGTAACTACAACTCCTAACATACGCTAACACGGCAGTAATCGGTTGAGCTGTTCTTAGTGTGTACAAAAGAAAAATCCCAATCGCGTCATCTGTTCTGAGCACATTCAGCATCAGACTGATGGAGCACTAAGAAATGTGCAGGGAGAATGTACCCAGGCAGCAAAGCCCTCCCTGTAGCAATGATGCTCTGAGAAGTGTCTGTAGACCTTAGACTTTTTGTTCGTTTTCTGTAGATGATGTTTTATTCCAATACTGCTCTTCTGTAGGAAAAGAACATACCCTCATCTTCCTCTGATAGTAAGCTCTTGTTTAAGGAACATGCACAGTACATGTCAAATATAATGAAAATAATGTCAAGATTTATGTGTCCGTTAAAACCGTAGCAGCACTGATACGCAGCATTTAGGACTATTGTAGTATTTGCTATGTTTTCTTACCGAGGGGCGGGTCGGTGAGTGTAATTACAAAGGGAGACATTTCGTTTGGTATGATGGAGCATACAGTGTGCCGAGCAATGCTTTTCACTCAGAAGCAGCATCCGCAATTGTGTCTGCTGTCTAATGAGCTTAATGAGGTACAACTGGATGTTTTGATATACTGAAACCATTATACAGCCTTCTCCATCCAGCTGATGCATCTGAAACTGTGTTCTGCTTCAGCTGATGTGGAGACTGTCCCTGAATTTGCAACTAGCTACATTTGCTAATGAAGTAGCAAGTAGCTCAGTTACATCAGGCATCCCGTGGTGTTTAGCTGATCACCAGTTCCAAGAAACACAATTTTTCAAAAATGGAAGCAGGGAAGAGCAGGATTGCTGGTAACTGAAATAACTTGGAATTTTTTGTTTGCCTGTATTTTTCCACTGCAGGATGAGAGTTTAAAGAAGGAGAGGTTGAATACTAAGGTTGTGAGTGCCAGCATTGAAAATGCATCAATTCAGAACCTTAATGAGCCTGTGACTATTACTCTTCAGCACATACACCAAAATACGGTAGGATGTGCTCTTCTCACCAGAGATGTGTTGAAGTAGAGCCTATTTCACTTAGACTCACAATAAACTGGCAACAGGACAAATAAGCTTCAAACGTTTTGCTGCCTGACCTCTCCGTGATCTATCAACCAAAAGGTTGACAGACCACACAGATCTCGGTGTTTAATTCCCGCAGATTACTAAAGCTTGTGTCTCCTCTCTAAATCCATGCTTAGCAGCAAGGGACGTTTTCATTGTTTCCTTGTTTTGATCTGGACAATTTTTTTCAAGCAATAGTTTATTTGCTAAAAATTGGCGGGTTTTGGATCTGACTGAAATGATTTGTAGGTGCTCCGAATTCAGCCAATTGTTTTAGTCACCAAAAGAGGTAAATTTGAAAAAAATCAAAACATTGCATAGATGTTTTCAAAATTAATTTGCTTTGTTTTGTTTCAGAATGATGTTTCAAAGCTAAAATCTATCTTAACTTATTTTTAAACGGGCATGGGTCAACCTTGTAGACTGAGTTCCACCTTAGCATTTTTGTGCTGCCGCTGTTTATGGTCCTGCCTCCACACGAATACATAACCCAGGGCAGAAAAAAATTATTCAATAAGATCAATTTGATTAAAGTTCAAGTTAATGAGAGCTTGAAAACGCTGCTTTTATGGCAATATGCTCTTTCCATTCAGTTCTAGCAAATAACATATACCCAGAAATTTCATCTAGATACCCCCTCTCTCCCATCAGTTTTACACCACCAGGCCATCTGGCACCTCTCAGATTTTTTTCCTCAACCTTTTAAAAGTACCCTAATTAAATATTTAATGAGATATCATTCTAACCTACATCTTTGGCTCCCTGCCTAATTATATTTGACAGTCTACAGATCACACGTCTTAACAGCTTATCTGTTAGGGTGGCTTCCTGTAAACTCCGTGCTTTATTAAATTTTATTAATAATAAAAGAAAATGAATCTGTGCCTTGGGAAAGTTTGCTGCAGCATTAAGAGTAATAAACTAGAATGTCCCCAAGAGAAAACATTGCATTGAATACCCATTTAAATCTGTTCAACTGTTTGCAATATCCAGGCAAGCTTTATTTTCTCTTAGGTGTCTTCCCTGCCTGGTTTCAGAGAGAGAGAGGAAACACTGAAATTCTAAAATAAAGGTTTTCTCGGGTTGAGAATTTTTTTTTTTTTTTTTTTGAAATCTCAGGTTGTTATTCTGGGTCTTGGTCATAACTTTTGAATTTCACCAGTAATTTGGTATGACATCTCAGATACCACATGAAGCCAATGAGATTAGACATAGGAATTGGTCTAAGCTGGACAACTTGTCAGATTTTCTGCTGTCCATACAAGACTACAAGATATAGAAAGACTGGTAAAACTGGGAAAATCACTGACTCCTAGCACTTCCCTTGGTAAAGGGGATGGTGAGAATTGGGACCCTCTGCTGGTTTTCAGTGTCCTGGGTGAGATGGATCCCAGCTGACTCCCAGTGACCAAGTGTCCCACTGCCCCAGAACTGCTGGCATCTCCAGCGACCTACACCCCCTACACAGCACAACCATGCAAATAATCGCTTTCTTGTCGAGCAGTACAGAGGAAATTAAATCAAACTGCCTTAGTGATAAACCCCGATCACAGGCAAGATGCACCGTCTGCAAGTGCAGGCGGTGTACAGGCATACTGAATAAATGTCACAGCCTCCTTTTTCTCCATTTTCAGGGTAATGCAGCAGTGCACTGCGTCTTTTGGGACTTTCAGAAGAACAGTAAGTGTTATTTACGGAGCTGCCACGCGTGTGCTATCACCAGCCTCACAGAGCTTTGGCTCCTTGACATTGCAGCTTGAAACTCTGAGGCTGTCCTGTTGAATGCGTGTTGCTGGTTTCCACTGACATTGATGCCTCAGCAATTGGTGTTACTACAAGGGGACACATGCCCAGCATTGTACACTGGTGCAGCTACACGAATCAGAAGACTTTAGTCTAAGAAAAAAGCAGAAATGCAATGAAACACAGAAAGATAACTGTGTATTGGGGTAACTGAGAACACTTGGGAGAGGTTTTCTTTGCAATTATTGGCGCTAGAATATACGTATTTTTTAAATCAGAAGCTTAGCTTCTGAATATGTCATACACACCACATAAATAGGGTTATAAATTTAACCTTACCAGGGAAGATCCTGCTTTTCAATGCTACACTCTGCCTAAACAAATCCTCTGCCCTGTAAATATTTCTTGCCTTCTGTGTTTCCACACCCTGCAGCATAATCTAGTCCAGAGCACTTTTCCCTTACCTTCCTGCTTTCTCTGTGTGCAAGCATGTAAATGACTTTAAATATTTCTTCATTCCATCAAAGGCTTTCATCCAAGTTTTGAGGTTCTCAGGCAACTATATAAGATGTGTTCCTGTGTGAAATCTCACTTGTGTGCTGCTAAATGACCCTGCAATCTGTACTAACTTGAGCTCATATTCACACATTCTGCGTGCTGCAGAGCTATAAATGACTGAGCATGACTAACTCTGCTTAAAAATCCCTTTTTCTCTATTACACAGATGGACTGGGTGGTTGGAATACATCAGGGTGTGAAATGGAATATACAGATATGAATTACACAATCTGTTTTTGTAACCATCTTACCCATTTTGGAGTCCTACTGGTAAGTACTCCGTGAATCATCTCCAAAAAAGTCCCGTGGCACTAAACAAAGTCATCGCTAGTTTTGGGGAGAGATGGGAGATTCATATCTATACAAGCTGTTAGATATCTGCAATTTTTGCCAAAATCAGTAATAACAAACAAAACACAATAATTTTTATGGTATAAAGTCCTCTAAATGTCACTTGCTTCAAGGCAAATTCATTTTACAGATGTAGTTTGTACTTCTTCGCAATGTAACTTAATCAACGTTAATGTGTTACTTGCTGTGTTGGAAATACTGTGTTAAATTTATTACCTGTCGGAGGCAACTAATGACATTACATCTTAATGTAAAAATAAGTTTTATCTACACTCCATCAGAAAGGGAAGTTTAATATAAATACGGGAAGTGTCATTAATTATCATCTCTTATCTCTCTGTAATACAGAAAAAACTGCCTCTAAAAGTTGAATGTCAAAAAATGAGATGACTGCCTGAGGATGGGTTGCAACAAATGCAAAGTGTTAGGCAAGTTCAGAGCAAACCGAGTAGATTAAAATTGTCTAATCCCAGTAGGATACAACCTCCACGAAGGGGTAAGGCCATCCCTTTGCCTTTGGATGCTTGCCCAGCTTCCCCCAGAGGTCAGCACTACCCTGCTCCGAGAGAGGCACGAACGCCTTTCCTGGTAGTAAAAATGAGAACTCTACAGGAAGGAATTTAGTTACAGATTTCAGACAACTTGCAAAGTCTTTATTCAAGCCAAGAGAATTCAGTTTGATTTTAAGATCACACCTCTCCTGCACTGCCACATTAGTAATCAGCATAGTTACTTAACAGCACAAAGTCGCTTGTAGACTGGAGATGTAGGTTACTAGGTTGAGGTTCAAAGTGTCACCAAATAGAAGAGAAACTGTGGCAGGGAACATCAAAGTCCTCTCAATATCACACCCAGCAGCAGCTGTGGAGGAGCAGGGCCAGCCTCCCAGCTGATTTTTGCAGAGTGATGTTTTCTGGACGTGGAGGGTCCTCCCACGCTCCAAGACATTTAGCAGGTTTGTGCAATTCCCAAGCGTGGCAGCTGCCATTGAGACAAAGTAGAGTTTCTCCTACAAAGTGAGCTCCCAGTGGAGTAATTTTGGCAAGATCCTGGAATCCTTGTTGAATTTGGGGTTTCTGAAGTACAGCTTTTCTAGCTTCACAACTTATTACTGGATACTTTAAATACTGTGTATTTTTACTAGTTTGGATATTCTGTAGGACTATACAATAAAACACATAAAAATATTAATGGAAAAATAGCAGTAAACAGAATAGAAAATGATTTCTTTATCAATGTGGAAATGTGGAAAGCAGTTTTCTTTATCTGTTATGGCAAACAACTGTGATTCTTTATCTTGTAACATAGGACTTGTCCCGGACAGAGATAGATATCACACACGATCGTATATTAACTCTGCTCAGCTATGCAGGATGTGGTGCTTCTTCCCTGTTTTTGGGTATAACACTGGTGACATATCTAGCCCTGGAGTAAGTCTGATCCTTTTTCTTATATTGTTTTTAATATTTAGCAATAATGAATTTGCAGCAGCTATCAATATGTTTGGTAATATCTGATGCTGTGATGCATAGGAGGGAAGACAGTATAAATATTGCTTTATTTTGACCTGTGACTATGATGAAATAAGAGGGATTCAAATCCTCGTGGTTCAATACAAGCACGAGTCTGAACTGATCAGCAACTTCTATGTTCCTAAATTTCCATCATTTCTGTCATTCAATAAATTTACCCATGGACACGGGTAAGATATCATGTCAAGAATCTGTAGTATTCCCTGTATATAGACTATACATTGGATGATATCAGCAATCTGGAATATTCCCTGTATATAGACTGTACATTGGATGATATCAACAGTAAAATAGAGAAACTTTTTCTTCTCTTGCTCTTGGTCTTTCTTGTGTCTGGTCCTTTGGGATAGGTTTCATTTTATACTGTATGTGCCAGTAGCTCCTGGCACGATGGGGACCCAGACTTAGGTAACAGTGGGTGCTTTCATAATCCAGTAATGTTGCAATAACGATAATATTTGATGCAGTAGTAAAAAGATATTAAGTCTGTCTCTTCTCCACCAAGTGTGAAAAACCTAGCAGGTCTCCATGTATATAGAAACTCTGCTTTTTCAGGCTGGGAGATCTGCTTCAAAAACACACTAGCGATTTGATATAAAACGCTAAGGTAGACACAACTTACAGGACAGAAAGCCAATTTATAATATGCTGAATACGTATTTGTGCTACTTTGCATTAGGGAATGAACCCAGCACAATTCATGCAATGATAACTTTGTGACTTCTCCCTTCTTTCTAGAAAGCTGCGGAGAGACAACCCTTCAAAAATCCTGCTCAATCTTTGTGCCGCACTGCTGATGCTCAACATGCTCTTCCTCACCAATTCCTGGCTGTCCTCGTTCAACCAGCCTGGTCTCTGTATCACCGCGGCCGCACTCCTTCACTATTTCCTTCTTGCAGCTTTCACGTGGATGTGCCTGGAGTCTGTTCACTTTTACTTCACTCTTGTCAAAGTTTTCAATGTTTATGTCCCAAAGTACATCCTAAAATGCTGTATTGCTGGCTGGGGTAAGTAAGCAAATTTCTTCTCCACTTCTGTGCTTGTTAACTTCTCTAAGATAGGGGCATATTTGCAAAAGTATGTTAGGACACTGAGCTAGTAGAAATCTGGTGCACACCCTAAGCCATAAGGATGGATTTCTTCCCCCAGGCAGGTTCAGATTAAGTTTCTTCTGTCCAGGGAGACATTAGCAGAAAGTGAAAGAAGGAAGACGGATAAAGAAAAACTCCCTCCACAGAGTTATAAGCAAGGAAAGGCAAAAATGGGTGTAAGGAACTGCTTTCCCTACCCCTCCTGCCCTTTACGGGAATGATTTTTCATGGTACCTCATGTCAGTGGTGTGCCTGAGGAAATGTGAGCTGCCCACAGCCTTCAGTCCTTCGGTGACGCTCAGAGGTGATTTTGAGCTCCTTCTCCAGGCTCCTTACCTGCCATTCTAGGCACAATTCCCCTGCGGGGGGTGGATTTCGCTTTCATTTATAGCTCTCCTGAGGACTTCACTGATTCACCTTTCCTCCAAGCACTGAGCATCAGCGACTCATTTGGGAGAAGCATAACAAAAAGGACCCAAAATGCTGGCTCAGCTGTTAGAAAAGGTGTTATCAGAGGCATTGACCCAGAGCAGAATTCGGTCTATGTTTTTTGGGTCACCATTAGATACTGTTTGAAAGGTTGTTTTTAGGCTTCTGGATAGTGTGCAGCGTATCAGCATCTCTATCCTTAGATCTGATGTCGCACGTAACTGTTCTCAGGGGCAGCCATCCATGATGGTGATGTTGGCAGTAGCCATTCTCAACAGAAAAGCCAGAACTGAAAGAAATATGGGAAATGGGGAAGGAGTGGAAAGGAAGACTGATAAAATGCTGTCTGGAAAATGTCTGTCTCTATGAGATCTGAACACAAAATGCTGTGGTCTGCTTCTCTTTTGACACTCTGCTTTTTGTAATAATCAGTTGGGTTTATTTTACCAGATTGGACCCCTTCTGGAGATGTTTGAACACTCACAAACATTTTGCAAACACAGATATTTTTAGGCCAAATCATTTATAATTTACATAAATAAGGAAATTAAACCTGCTATGCCACACATTTAATTACACTCATCTCAGAAGGGGATTTAGGGGTAGAGTGTGATCCCAAGATGTACATGTCTGATATGACTACTCAGCAGAGATTATCCGACATCTTTACATATTTCCATCACGCTTTTTTTTTTTTAATCTAAATATCTCTTTTTCTCTTGTCTTCCATATTAGGGTTACCAGCAATTGTCATTACTATTGTGCTCATTATAAATAAAGACTTTTATGGCAATGGATCACATTCTGAGAGCAATCCATTCAGCAATTTGTAAGTATAATACTTTAAGCTTTTTGATGGTCACCAGATTATCTTAAAGATAGAAGAAATAACAGAAGGCAACAATTCCTCTCTTTGGTCTTTCCTCCCCCATCTTAACCCTCTCCTTTTAGCAGTTCTGGTTCGGTGGATCATTTGGACAGTATGGAGTAACTCTCACATCAGTGGACTGGGCTTGAGGACAGGGAGGTCTTCTGCCAGTCAACTCCATTTTTACCTTCTGGAAAATCTCTTTCTTTACATGACATTAACTCAGCCTGATTGGACATTTGTATGTGCTCCTGCGTGTTCTTGATTTCTGATAAAACCTAAAGGCAGAATAATTGCTCTAGTATTTTGCACGTTTGCTTCAGCTTTTTTTTAATGTCAATTCACATCACTGTCTCTTCATCATTTCAAATTCTTTTATTTAAATCATCTCAACCTCCTCTCTTTTCCAATGGGAAAACACTGCTTTCTTTCATCTTTTTTTAAAAGGGCTTTATAGCAAAGAATGCTTCCATTTTTTTGGCCTGCTTTCTGATCACTTGTTGGTGAAGATTACCTGGAATATTTGAATTCTATCCCATCAGAGAGGCAGCACACCCCCATGACACCTCAGAGGGAATACTGTTACCCATCTTTAGCAAAAAGGCAGTAAAACTCACTAATTTATGTCCGAGGAAAAGGCTAACCAGTGCTCATCTCTGTGCTATACTATTATTTAGACTCCTAATTAAGTCGTATTTAACTCAGTTTGCTGAAGGCAGTGTGTCTTTGTGTGTGTACATTATTAAGTTGTGAAACAATTGTCATGTTTATTTGAATTTGACAGAAATATTAAAGTCTCAAAGTTATTGAATTTCTATAACATCCATAAAAAAAGGCAAGTGGAGAGATTCTATGAATGTCCTCATTGGGGGAAAGGAATAGGCATTACGGAATGCCCCTTACTAGGTATTGGAGAACCATATGGGAGACTTATTTTGGATACCAAGCTTCATTAGTTTCACTGCTCACAAAACTCCTCGTTAACTAGATACTTCGCTTTCTTGCAGTTGCTGGATTCAAGAGAACACAGTGTTTTACACCTCTGTTGTGGCCTATGTCTTCTTAATATTTTTGACCAATACAGCCATGTTCATCACCGTTCTCCTTCAAATCCACTCCATGAAATCAAGGACACAAAAGAGATCCAGAATCTGGAAACGGGTTTTTCTCCAAGACCTCAAAAGTGCTTTCAGCTTGATGTTCCTTTTGGGCTTAACTTGGGGCTTTGTCTTTTTTGCCTGGGGAGCAGTGCGGATATTTTTCCTGTATCTCTTCAGCATTTTTAACACCTTGCAAGGTAACTTCTGAATGGAGTACTGCTATAAATACAACAGTTTAGGGCTGTGGAATAGAAATAAATTTGTAACATCATGTCATTCAAGCATGGGGTAAGAGAAGTGCTTATATAGCTTTTGTGTTTGAGTGTTTAGCTATTTCAATAGGAAAGCTCCATTGCAGTGGGATGATAGTGATGTTTGGATAGCATTGCTGTGATAGATATACTATTAAAGACATGAATTCATGCCTTTGAAACACGGATCCCAATAAATGCATCTTGTCAGAAGCTGGCACAATCCTTTTCACCTGAGCATAAAAACGGTTGATAGAATCTACAGTGACTTTCAGATTATTCTTATATCAAATCTGCAGAAAGCTCTTTTCGTTTCCCTCTCACATGCACAAAGGACTCTCGGTGCAATTCTGGGCCAACATGATGCTGGCCCAGGGACCACCTCTCTGCCCATACATAACATATTGGTAACTGATTGGTAACTGAGTGGCACACAGAAAGTTTAGAAAAGGGACAGCAAGTTGGAGAATCCACCTGAAAACCTGTGAATTTCTCTTTTTACTTCTTTAGGGTTCTTTATCTTTGTCTTTCACTGCCTAATGAAGGAAGATGTAGTGAAGCAGTGCAGAGTACACTTTTGCTGGGGAAGATTTCGTCTGAGTAATTATTCTGGTAAGCATTCAGGGGTTTTGTTTAGCTTGACTCGTAAGTCTTCGCCGGGTACTGTTGTCACATTCATTCTACATTAAAAAATAAGGCTCCCCTCAGTAGCCTTTCTGCATTGCATTGAGTAATTGTTCCTTAAGAGGTCTTTATCCTCTTCCATTAACTACTTATATGATATGATGATGGGGTGACAGCATGCAGTAAAAATCGTAGATTTTCAAAAAAGATTTCAGCTTGGTCTCTAATTCTGTTCTCACATGCCATTCCGTGTTCCCTTATGTAAGCCATGGTTTTGGTGGCCTTCCAGTCTTCATAAAGCCAAGATTTGGAAACTTATGCAGGATATTGGACATACTGGTAGCTATTTTTTATGTGCAGGAGCTGGGTTTGCTCAGCTTGGGAAGGAGAAGGGAGATGTAATTGCTGTCTTTAGCTATCAACCAGAGGGGTGGTTATAGAGAAGAGAGACTCTTTTCAGAGGTGCACAGCAAGAAGGCAAGAGGCAATGGACACAAGTTGCAGCTAGGAGAATACCCATTAAACGTAAGGAAATACATTCCTCACAATGAGGGTAGTTAAATAGGTGACATTGGCCCAGAGAGGGTGGTGGAGAGAGTCTCTTTACTTGGAGTGTCAAAATTCAGCTGGACTGGTGTCTGACCAACCTGATCCAACTCTGGGCAGGAGGTTGGAGTGAAGACCCCCAAAAGTCCTTTCCAACTGAAATTATTCTAAGATTCTGCTATCTACCAGCTCAGCAAGAAATAACACATACTGTGGCTCGTTCTGGGCTACCCCAGTGATGTTGATTTTTCACAGAAATGTGGAAGAATGAAATAACTTCAGTACCTCTGTATAGCTGTCAAAATTAGTTGACATTATGAATGGGTATAACACAGGAGAAGCTAAATCAGTCGGTTTAGTCTTTTCAGGAAACCAGACTAAAAATCCTGTATGAGCACATATGTCCTGTACACAGCAGTCCTGTGCAGTGTGTGCTGCGAGGAATACGTAGCTTTCCATTTGCAGAGGGGGAATTCAGCTCTAAGTAGCACACAGGGTGTTCTCTCTTGAGCATGAGCCAACTCGATGCTGTACGATACACTACGGGTAAGGCTGCCATTCCTCTCCTTTGTGTGCCTCCTGTCTTCTTCAGCATGACTTTATCCAAGTTAGTATTACTAGATTGGGTCCCTACAGGGGAAATAGAAGACTGAGTTGCTGGTATCCAGCCCCACCTGCACAAGTGCGACAGAGTTAGTGTAAAAATTAACAGCAGGAACTGTGCGTTGTGCTGCAGAGCTTCAGGGCAGGTACAAGGATGGCACAAGAAGCAAGCGCAGACCTTTCTCCTCCCTGATCTCTAGTAGTTTGAGATGTGACACCCATACAGAATTTTATTCCTGTGCCTTCCACCCTCTGATTTCAGACTGGAGCGGGTCAGGTGCAACTGCTGGATCTATACCAAGGTGTTTAAACCACACCTCACGATCCCAGGCTTTGTGGAGTCCAAATTCTAACGGAACAACTTCAACTTTCAATGGTTCAGATTTCCTTCCCAGGACTTCTCCAGATATAAATTTTAGGATCGGTAAGAAAAACGATGTGCATTGCACAGACTAGAACGTAAAAGATTCCCTACAGTGACTGTCAAATCCCAACCAATGGGAATAAATAAGAAACCTTTCACTGCTTGGTCTCTGCCAGACCTAATTTGGGGGTTAATGGCTGTGTTACAGATGGCTTTCGCTGTACTAAGGAAAGTAAAAAAGCCCTTAAGATGCAAAAGGACAGAAATTCTCTGCTCAGCCTCCACCTTAGGCACCTAAGAGATATTCTACCCTGTGCCAGCTGGCTGTCATTCTCACGGGACCTGCTTCCAGTTAGGGAGCACGAGAGTCTTTCTCATGCATTCCCAAAAATGCAGAGTTGTGCATAGTCAGGTTCCTTTGTAAAGAAATTAAACCAAATTATAATCATGGCAAATTTTCCCTAATTCTTTTCCATAGCTGAAGTTCATTACAACCCGAGTGCTGTACCTCTGGAAGATGGTGAGACCGAACATCCTTGTTCACGAAGAATACTACCCATGGATACAGGGCTACACTATCCACAGAAAGCAAGACTTTTTCACTGATACTGAGTTTGTTTTCTTCTGATTATCTAATGATGATTCTCTTTTGTGGCATGTAGAAATAAACATTGATCGAAATAATTACTTTTAGCATACAGTTATTGTTCTGAACACAATTATAGAGCTAAAACATCCCATGACTTAACTCTCTAAGCTTTAGTGGAGTGGCAATACTGACCACATAAGGATTTGTTCCCTCTGTGCTTCTGATATTAGCCCTCATGTTAAACAGAGTGGAAACATTCCATTCCTCATCATTAGCCCTTCTCATAGTCTGCCTCCTTTTTTTTCTCTTTGCACCCTCCTGTGATCCCTCTGCTCTCTTCTTCATCTGATACTTACCCTCGGAACCTAATATCCATACTACTGAGTTTCAAGTCATATTTTTGAGCCTAGTGGCTGACTGTCTCAGGCATGGACGTCTAGGCTCCTCAGTCAGTACCTTTCCTTACTTTTTCTGAGATGGACTTTGATCAGTTAAGAAATTGGACTCAGCTTTCCAAAATGTTCCTTTCAGTTTTTATTTTCAGACATGCTGGCACTGCTGACTTGGATTTAGATCTCTAAAGTGATGTGGATGCGTGTTTAGATGTTCAAAAACATTGCCCAGTACTTTCAAATGGAATGTGGAAACAAAAAAAATTGAAACTCCCACCTCTAAAGGGTATCCATGTGTACAACAAAGTTTTCAGATCACCTCTCCTGCAAATAAACCAGACCAATAGCAGATAAAATCCTACCATCTTTGCAGGTGGTGATTGAGAAGTTTGCTCTTCAGCAGTACTTTACTGTGAATACAGCAGGAGATAAACTCCATTTCATAACATCACAGGAGAGACTTAACTTTCCTCTCTTACTGAAGAGGGGCTTTATTTCAACAAATGTGTTTGAATTGGTAACTTGCCTGCTCAACTGCATCCTAGTTTCAGTTTTGAATGCCTTTCTCTGTATCATTCAAATAAAGACTTTTTGATGATTGCTAATATAGTAAAATACTATCCTTTACCGATGACAGAAAAGTAAAAAAAATAAAATGGAGCGATGTCTTAGAGCTGGTATGTATGATCGCAAATACAAAAGGTTCTTTCATTCTGTGAATAACTCCCACACAGCAATTAGTGGAAAAAGATGAGTATTTCAATGTACAGTAGCTACAGCCAGCCTACTTGAAATTAGACAGATCACCTTCAGTTCCTTGGCTTTCTGGGAGAAATGTTAGCATTAAAAACATGCAAACAAGTTCCACCTCAGACCCACTTGTTTGTAACTTGAAATTGTTTTCAATGAGAAAGAAATTGAATATAAAATAGTTTGATATGTTGCACCTTTGAACTACCATCCTCTGCTTGTATTCTTTATTTCCATTAGTAAACTCATTGTCCCATAATCTGCTGCTGAGTACAGGTTTTCCCAGCTTTGCAGTGCGAAGCAGGACACGCTGGGCTGTAGTGCTGGGTGCTAAAGCTGTGCCCGACTCCCCTTGCACCCCTAACCTGGCTGCTGCACGCCCCAGGGGGGCGGCGAGGGCAAGGAGGGAGGCTGTGGAGGTTTTTGGAGGAACTGGAGCTTTAGTCCTCCCCTGAGTCCCTTTTCCATCAGTTGGTTTCTGCCATGATATCAATAAGTCTAAGGGGATGGGCAGACTGACCCCATTCCCTTCTCTATCATCTTGCTTTGACCCTCACTGTCCTCATTCATGCAGTAATTCTTTCTGCATACACTTTATAGGACAGAAGATAATAGGCTTAAATTTAGACTAGACATTAGGTAACCATTTAAGGTCTGGAGTGCACATGGAATTTCCATCATTGCAGGTCTTAAAAACCACTCATAGTGATAAGACAAATATCTGCCAGAATAAGTAAACTTGGTTTTGCCTTAGGGCAAAGGATGGACAGGAAGACCTGTTGAAAGTCCTCCCAACTCTATTTTCTAGTACTCTACTCTAAAATAAAAAGGCAGCAAAAGACGATCAATACAAGAGCAACATGAGACTGGCCTTGTCTCCCACATGCTGGAATTGTTTTATTACATTCCTGATAAAAGATGAAATGTACTTTGATTTTCTCAAGTTCTTGCTGAATACCCTCATAACATTATTAAATGATTAGAAGCAACAAGGATTTGGATAAAAGCTGGACAAGTAGTGAGAAAAGTGCCAGAATACTGTTATGGTTCAAAGAACTCATAACAATTTAATGTCATTTAGACAATTACTCTCTCACCTGATGACCCCTCCCCACCCGGGAATGGGAAACAGGAAAATACAAGGAAACCCAAGGGCTGACATATAAACAGATTTAATAGAATAATACTAAATAACGAACATTAATTATGTTAAAGAACCATTATTGATCCCAGTACCAACATAAAATACCCGAACTAACCCCGGCCCATTCTATCCATAGAAGCCGTGCGCTCCCCGCAGTGACAGCCCATGTGGGACACTGCCAGCGCTGCGGCTTCGGGAGGAAGGGACGGGCTCAGGGCTGCGGCACCGGGGCGAGGAGTTCTCGGGATGGCAGCCGTCACGGGAGAGAGAGGACTCCTCAGCAAACTTTCTGATTTCTATGGAATGTGCCGTTCATGGCATGAACTAACCTTGTTGGCAGCTTGGGTCCAGTGCCCGGGTCTCGCTCCTCCTCATCTCCGCACCCGGCGAGCTCGAAAACACTGAGACCTCGAAACCTGCACACCATTGCTGGCTAGAAAGTAAGTATTTTCACAAATTCACAGAGTCTTCTAAAAATGCAGTTTTCCCAAGTATTAGAAGAGACCTTACTGCAAACTAAAATTACTGAAAGGGAAATTAATCCTGTGTCGCTCAAAACAGGACAAATACTTAAGATTTCTCAGGCTGCCAAGAAACGGCTGTAAAAGCCATTTCTTGGGCAGATCCGTCAGTGTGTTTCCTGCTTTGGAGGTGTAACAGTGGGAAGAAGAGCAAGCTGCACTGCGTGGAACAATGTCAGGTCTCCATTCTTCCTCTTGATTGTTTTTTTCTATTCAAAAAGCAAAATCTGGAAGTAAATTTTTAAAAACCTGTCAACTTGCTTATGTAAAATGCAAAGCGCTATTTGTTCTGGGAAGGCAGTTAGCTCACTTCCTCTCTCCATCATATGCCTTGTGGCTTTTCCATCTAAGCAGCGCATCATTTATGTTTCAAGCATGGCATTGTTTAGGTTGTCAGCTTGAATGAAGATGTGTAATTTTCTTTGGGCTGAAATAATATCTTCGGTGCCAGTGCCATTACATTTGCTCTTCTCCAAAGTATCTATGCCGACATTCTGTCACAGAATTGAGCATCGATGGTTTTCACAGGGAGAGGACATGCACAAAGACAAATCTAATAAAAAATTGCTATGCGCTTGTGATTCATATCCTCATAATTTGAAATGATTCCACAGCTCTGCTGCGAACGTGACCTGACGGGCAGCAGCACATTATTGGGACAAACATGTCCTCCTCCCCGCAGTTTTGATTGTATCCCTTGACTCTGCTTGCTCTCTGAGAAAGCATTAATCTAAAAGCTCCTTTGATTTCTAAGTCATTCTCATTTACTCCTAGATTGCTTATTTTTAGCGATGCATACACCAGGAAATGTGTGCTCTATTTTAAACCAATGAAAGAAGGATTTCTGAAAGTATATTTATCTGTGAAGACAATTATCAGATCTCAGTGGGTTGCTAACAATAGGTTAGACGATGCAAAAGAAAGAAAAAAATGATAGTAAAATCACTGCAGCAGCTGTGGTGACTCGGGCAAAACCCTCCTCGGTTCCATCTTGCTATTTAGACTGGCACAAAACTCCACCACCATCGTACCAACTAAGTCAGCGGATGCCGATCCAAGGTCTAGACAGCCCACTCAAGGGTCCCTGGAGATTTTTTATGTCTCCACATGGACAAGTGGCTAAAGCTGCCTTCTAGCTCAATGTATGTACAGTGTTTTGATAACCGTGTGACAGAGAAATATGACATAGGATGACAGTTAAAGGTCAGTGCAGCTTGTTTTAAGTTTTCTTCTGACAGTTTATGAATCTACAGTAGCGGTTAGCAATACAGGTTAGCAATACTTATGCCCAAGATGGATAATTCTTTCTAAATTTAGCAGGCAGTTATTATTGGGACAACGAAAGAAATGGCATTATGGGAAGCGATTTGAGATTAAAAATCAAAATACCAGGAAGATAATTACCTATTGCGTAAGATGATTGTTAAGTCTTAATGCACAATACTCTGTGCTTTTAGGTATCAGAAAGTATTTAGCATGTAATGGCACTATAATGGTTCTAAATTAAATGTATCATTGAGAGTTTCAAGGATGCCCAAAAGAATTATGCTTGTTTTATTATTTCATTGCCTGATTGTTCCTGTAATGGAAGAAATTCAAGGATACACTCCCATGTTTATTATTCTCTTTTTTCTGAGAACTGACACCAGTATTTCACCGGCCATTCCCATTGGTATGCTGGCTGGCTGAGGGAACTCTTGGAAAAGACTGGAAGGGATGCAAGAATGGAGAAACAGGGTAAAAGGTATTTGGAGCCATTGATTAATGAGAGCATTTGAGATCCCCTCACAGGCAGACTGAGTCCCACTAACTCCACTGAATAATCTGGAATTAGACATTTTAACAAAATCAGAAGCTGTTTTCTTAGCTTTTAACCAAGAAGATACGCGTCGTTGCTGTATCACCGAATGCTGCTCCTGACAGTTCATCTGAACTGACCTTCCATCTCATCTTCGTTACACTGAGGGCTCGGGCAGTGTTATTTTTGCTCCTAGACATGCTGATAAGTCTTGTGGTATTTGACAGTGTAACTGGATAGCTCGTCTTCAGTTCCAAAAAAGAGGGATGCAGTTCCAATCAAATGTTGCTGCAGGCTTTGATGCCCTGAATCCCAGTGCCTGCACAGCTCCCTCTGCCCTTGGTGCAGAATTAACTCCACACAGGTAATAGCAAGATACACCCAGGAATAAACCAATGTATTTTTCTCCTAAATGGGTAGTCTTTGACTCTGCTATGAATGTGACACATCCAAGGAAACTGTCATTAAAGTGTCCTAAAAAGATATTTTCCCTTTTAATAGCTCAGTATTTGTTTTGTCTCCAAATGCTGAGGACACTGGGCAATGCTAAAAAAATCAAAATACAGGATAGAGAAGATGTTCCCACTTAGTGGTGAAAAACAGACACTGAAACCAGGCTCTCGTGCTTACAAGTAAAGAAGCCCAGTGCCGGCAGTGCCTTACTCAACCTGCCTCCCCATTGCCTGACACTGGTAGCTCCAAAAGGGATGCCTGGCAAGGTGGGGAGGTGACGTCCTCTCTCTTTAGGGAGGGACTCAGATGTAGCACATGGAAATGACTCATTCCCGTTCTCGCAGTAGGACAGAGCAGAACTGGAAACAACCCCGGTGTGTTAGAAATTTGCTCTAAGCATAGACCACTGTCTCTGGCATCGGCACTCACCCTGGGTATGCATTCAGGCTTTCCCATTTAATACTCACCTGCCTGAACACTAGAAAATCGATTGGGAAGAGTCACACAAGTCACACAGCCCATCAAATGGCTGTCAGATAAAACCTTCATTCTTACTATTGCTGTGTTATGATACTCTTTGCCCCCTCATCTTGCCATTACTTGTAACGGTATTGGCAATTTCAATTTAAAGAGAAGACACTAAAGCTGCAACATAGATGCAAGTCAGAAACGGGGTGATGACGCATGCCCATCCCTGAGCCTGTTGTCTCTAGAGCAGGGACTCCTCTTCCCAACACAAAGGTGGCAAAGCCAGTTCAGCAAACAGTAGGGAGAAAAAGGTATTTCAGATAACAAAATTCCAGTTATAACTCCAGAGTCTAGCTCATAAGCGAGAGTTGTGAAAGGGCTCCAGATTAGAACTTCTTGATGGAGGAGCAAAAAGCCCTCCTTTGCCTTTATGTCAAAAGAACACAATCTAAAAGGAAGGCTACTGAGATTTGCTGGAAGGGAAAGATTTACATTGATTTGGGCAGACTGCTAGACTTCAAATCAATTTTCTATCCCCGGGGAGGAATAAGAAGAATGTGCCTGTGGTGACCCCACAGCAGAGTCCTGCTCTGTGGTGAACAGTCTGGGCACCAGGACAGCAATAAGGCTCCTCCGTAGAAGAGATCCTAATCTGAGTAAAGCCTTTTATAAGAGATGATGCCACAACAGAGTCTACCAAATTTCAGGACTAAGATAGACAAGCTGTTCGGTATCTCTCTGCTGTTAACACCCCAAGAACATAAACGTCAGTTCGCTCAGCGGAGAGACAGAGAGATACATCAGCCAGCAATAAACAGATGGTGAAATTGCTAGGAGAGACAATTAAAGCAAGGGTCGAAAATGAGTTTGAGGCATAAAAGAAGAATTAAGAAAACTAAATAGATCTATGCAGAAATGATACAAAGAATGACCTAAGAAAGTGAGTTAAAATAGTCCTAAAAAAACCCAGGCTGGCTAATATAGCTGTAGTTCACTGTGTATCAGTTTTGTGTTCCTAGCACTCTAGCTATATTTGTACAAATACTGATCAATTCTGTGTGACCAATGTATACAGAAATAACAAAAATGCACTACACAGAGTAACTACAATTTTGGAAAATCAATTTCTTTAATGGGAGTTAAGATTTTGGCTGTTTTCTCCATGTGTTGGCTTGGTGCAGAGCAAATGGTTCCGAAAGAGATTTTTCTGAGTGGGTGACACTACGCAGCACATGGAAACGACTTAAGTCAGCAGTCACACTGCATTAAAACAGAAAATTTGCATTAAAAATACAGCTAAATGATATACTCTTGAGTATTTCACTTGAGGTTTTTTTGCAGCATGGAGTTCAAAAGGAACATTCATTTTCCGTGAATGTTTTGTGTGTTTTCTGGTATTTTAAACAATAGCCAGAATTACCCAAATTGCTTTTCACCAGAAGACAGAGCTCTAAAATAATGCCTTGGAGTTGTTTACTGTTTGGAATAATGAAGCCATTCTCCTCCTTTTCAGCTGCATTTGCACAACTGAAAGCTATCAGAATCTGTGTTAAAAACGCAGTGTGTTTTCTCCTGCCTGGTTTCTACCCATCACACTAATGAAGAGCAGACAAAATTGATGAGCAGAAACACTGAAATTCTACTGCTATAAACAAATTGCTTATTTGATGTTTACTATCTGTCCTTCAGGCTTTTGTTGGGTCTAGAGAATGTTATTGTGTGTGCTTTTTCAAAATAATATTTTTCACCTCCTAAGGACTGACTAAGACAATATCTTGTGCTCCACAGAGAGCATCCTGGCCGACTCGCTAAAACCTGCAGTAATACAAGGACTGTAGGAAGAACTGTGAGTAATGAAGGAACTTCATTCTGCCAGATTCCCCCAAGGAGGCAGAAAGCTGGGAAAAATATAATCTCTCAGTAGAAAGAGAAAACCAAGTAGATTTTAACATTGCTGTGACCTGGGTTAGACATATATACTGTGGTTTATTAGAGAGAAGGCAGGGAAAACGTGTCTGTGTTTCCTGGTAATGCGGGCTTCTGAAGTGGGAAGCATCAGACTTAGCATCCGGGTTCAGATACATGAATTCAGGTCCAGCACACGAAGCACCAGGACTAAACAGAATTTTAAGCCCTTGCCGCTTTCTGGGGTTGCTTTCATCTGTGGCACACGTTGGTGTCCTCAAGAGGTTTAAAAATGGGTTGGGAGGTCTGTCACCTTTCCCTTCACACCTGAATCATCCCCCAAACCAAGAGCTGGGAGCATCTCATAGCTCAAGAGTCTCCTGTCCTCTGGATTATCTCTGACACAGAGGGGTATTAGTTCTGGTCCTCTATCCTGCCATACAAAATGATCGAGCGACAGAATAAACCAAGCCTCAGATTTCACGCTGTCAGCACAGATCTCTCGGATGGCTCTGAAAGCTCTGGGACTGTAAGAGTTTGGGATCTATGCTGCTAGCTGAACTTTGGGGCATCAACCAACCTCTAGTGCAATTCAAGGCAAGTAACAAGTTTCTTTCAGCTAAATTCCAGTCTCACCTTAACACCTGATGTTTCATTCTGATGCCAGCCTTCAGTATTCAACATTTGGTGGATAGCAATTAGTTCCCGATGTTTGGTGATACCTTACTTCTGCTATACAGGAAATCTAAACATTTTATGTAACTATCTGACATTAAGCTGTCACAATCTGCTACAGTTGCCGAACTCTATATTAAATATAATGCACAGTACTACGCCAGTGTGGGTGGACAACATAATCGGGCATCCTCAAAGGCACCTAAATCTGTGAGCAACCTACATACTGCGCCTGCATAAAAGGACATATTATGGTTGATCGTGACAAGAACGTCTCTTCTAAAAGCACTTTCAAAAACAAGTAGTTGGAATTTTTAACCCATGCATCCTTTTTGTATCAGTGACTCCTCCTTCCCCCCGCCCACAGCATTGGTCTTCCATCTAATCTACCATCTACCATCTACCATCTGGTCTATCACCACCCGACACCTATGGCACAGGTGTGTTTGCAAGGATTGGGATTGAGAGAGGGAAAATTAGACCTATAGTGTGTTTTAGAGGCGTTTTTTTTAAGTAAATGAAACGAACTTGATTTTGTGTATCTGAGTGGCTGTGTGTGTGCAGCTAAAGATAAAGGGACTCGGCTGTAAGATTGCTTTTGTAATTTGAGCAGGGCACCTTCTCCACTCGAATGTCATAGCTGAAGAACAATTTGGAGGAAAAAATACTCCAGCTACTGATCTTCATTTTCAAGGCATAAAGTTCAGACCTTTGATATCCTTTCCACTTCCATTATTTAGGAATGAGATCTTGGGTTTCTTCATTTCAGGAGATTTAACCTGATAGATCAAATTCCTCATACCTTAGTTTACATTAAAGTTAGTCAGGGGTTCATCACAGAGCAGTTCCAGATTTGACTGTTGACTAATCTAAAGATAAGAAAACCCATACTACTAACAGGTTTGATTGAGATAGCATCATGAAAAGTTATTTTTCTCCCAGAAGACTTGAATCATCCATTGTACCATCCAAAGCCAATAAATACACATATTATTGCAAGAGAACAGGCTTCCATACAGTGACCATCTATAAACTCGTTCAAACTTCAGCGTAAGTTCTGGTTTTGATGGCAATGGGATTGTTACAAGGGACAAACCTAAGCTTTAATGTAAGCGTTAGCAGGATTATGGTCATAAATTTCTGTCTTACATGGCCTTTTGGAAGGTGACTGCATTTCTGTGATGGAAATGCTAATCAGAACACAGACAAGCACAGGCTGTCTCTTTGTCTTTTTCAACAAATACTATATATATTTTGAGATATTTTATCTGCCATTAAGGTATACTGTAGAGTTTTATATTAAATTAGTGTATTCTATGCTTACCCATACTATTGAGAACACTATTTCAGGTTTTCATTTTATTTCCTTTTTAGGATATTTTGAAAAATACTAACAAACATTTGCTAGGTAATATGCAAACACTAATACTACAGTAATTACAATACAGTATTTATTTGCCAGATACCTCCAAGAAAAACAAAACAAAACAAAACAAAAACCCAACCATCATTTCAGCTAATATCTTTAAAGAAACCCCTTTTCTCTTTTTTTCTCCTCCCTCTCTGCTCCACTAGCTGAAAAGCCAATAAAAAAATTCTCCACCTCCTACACAGTTCAGAACAAGATCTGTGTGCATTTCTCCTAGGCATGTTTTGAGACCCAGAAGGGGATGAAAGTAGTTAATGTGCAACGGGAATCTTAATTTCAGACACAAATCTGTACCTTTCTATTGACCTTGCTGATATGCTACAAGCTAAATATTAAACAATTTTTGGATCAATTTAAGTCCAGCCTGGGGAGAAGAAAGAGTTAAAGAAATGTCTCAAGTATACTTGCATTCAGCTAATCAGACTTTGTGTGCATCTACAAATGGTACAGAACTGAAATCAATCATTGATAATGAAACCACAAATGAAAAATGGACCGAAGACTCCTTTCCAGGATTAGAAATACTGTGCACAATTTATGTTACATATGCTGTGATCATTTCAGTGGGTCTCCTTGGAAATGCTATACTCATCAAAGTCTTTTTCAAGATTAAATCAATGCAGACGGTTCCAAACATCTTCATCACCAGCCTGGCATTTGGAGACCTACTGCTTTTATTAACTTGTGTGCCTGTAGATGCAACACGTTACATTGTGGATACCTGGCTCTTCGGAAGAATTGGGTGCAAGCTGCTGTCTTTTATCCAGTTAACCTCAGTTGGAGTATCAGTGTTTACCCTGACTGTTCTCAGTGCTGACAGGTGGGTCTGATGCAACTGATTTGCCAGGAGATGCCGCAGGTGTGAAGTTAGAAATTAATAAAAGAGCAGAAAAGATTATTTTGCACAATATTAAATGGAACATTGTAATAGACTAAAAAAAAAAAAAAAAAAAGGCAAAAAACCAGCCGCTCTCCCATTTAATTTTAAAAGGTGTGTTAGAAAAATTGGAGCAGTTCTTTTTAATGGAGTGAAGTGAGAAAGACTCTTTTAAGTCTTTTGACCTTTTATTAGCTGGAAGTACAGTATGGTGGTGGGGTTTTTTTCTCAATTGCACAGAAAGGGGAAATTGCTTAAGGCGGTGAAAAGACAGGATATTGGTGCTATCTAGTGGTGCACTAAAGTAGTCAGGGAAGATGAAAAATAAAACTGAAAATGACTGAGTGGAAATCCTTTGTCCTCTGCACTCAGCGAGACTCTAAAATCTTCCAACGTAAAAGACTGACATGTGGGGTAAAAAGTGAACAGTAAACACAGAACAGACTGGGAACAAATTAATGACTTGTGATTTGATGGTTACTGCAATACTACAGCAATTGTCAGTGTGAGATAATATGGCACAATTTGAATATTTTATCTTATAGTTCATATATCTTTTCCAGAAATACTTTAGCCTGACATTAAACTCAGGTTACAGTGAAAGCACTGTCAGCAGGACAACTGCTCCCATCTTACTGCTGTCAGGAGTTGCTGAACAATTAGTTTTCTACGCACTTCTTTTCTGAACGAACAAAAGTAAGACGAGATTTCAGTTCAATCGGCATGAGCATGTCAAGGAGCAGAAAAACCCAACATGGATTTTAGTATTAAGACAGAAAAAGATTTTCATCTTGTATGCCAGCAATTATGGATTGCATGTAACAGCAAGTAGTTCACATGTCCAGAATTTAAGCAATGCTACTGCGACTGTACTCCCAAAAAACCCAGCCAACACAGGAATAGCCACACGGTGTCAGATCAAGGGTCCATGTAGGCCAATACCAGCTTCCGGCAGTGGTAGTATCCAACTATCTAACTATCTAACTACTATCCAACACAACACCGATACCCTAAACCTTCAGATGACCTCCTGAGCAGATGTGGTTTCTGTCTGTTTAATAACCTCAATGGATTTCTCTTCTAGATCCTTGTTTGGCCTCTTCTTGAACTTGTTTCACAAGGACTTTCACTGCCTGTTGCATAAACAACTTTTTTTTTTTGCTTTGCACATGGCTTCATTTGATGGCCCTGGCTCTTGTGCCAGAAGAGACAGCGATCTCTATCCATCTCCCCGGGCTATTTATGTTATATTCCACCCTTGGTGTGGGCTTTGTCGAGTTAAGGTGTGCAAAGCAGCACATGTTGTTCAGGAGTTGCGTGAACCAAGAGATACAGATAATCGCATAATAGTCTCTTTTGCTCTCCATTGTTTTCCTAGTAATTCCTAACATTTTGCTTTTTTGTTGGTTTATGAGGGTTTGGTAGTATTTTTTTTAATACTGCTGAATATTAAGCTGATGTTTTCACTGAACCATCCTATTTATCACAGCTCCAAGGTCTTCGTCCTGTATGAAGTCAACTCAGAATCCATCATTTAGACACTTGCTTCTGTATTTGATTCTTTATGGTAGCTGTTACATAAATATTCCATGCTACATTTTCACAGATTAACTTTATGGTAAACTTACTTTATGGTAAACTTACTAAGAAAGCTCAGAAAGCTCAGTCACATGCACAATGCCAGACTATCATGTTCCAGTATGCTAGAAGATCTCAAAGCCAATAAAAATGGTATTTATTTGATAAATAGCAGTCCAGCTTGCAGTTTGATATTTAAATTTGCCTAGAGGAGAAAAAGACCAGATCCTTAGCTTGCACAAAACGGTTCAACTAAGCTGTTTTATCCTCTGGATCCTTTTTCACTGCCTTTCCTTTCATGCCAGTCTTGTGCCCCCCCTGGAGGGCTCTCTTCTTTCTGCATCATTGAGACTCCCCCATACTTTGGGACCCGGTTATATTGGTTTCTGTGCTTCATCCACCTTCGTGGCAGTCGGTCCTTTTTCCATGTCCCATTTCCACACAGATTTTCACACATCTATAGATTTACCCAGATTTTTCTCATATGTCTGACTCAGTCCACATGCTGCAGAATCACAGCCATGAATCAACAGCAGTGTTAGCTCCTGTTTTATAAATATGAATGAAGACTGGAGCATTATTTTGAGTCAGATCACTGCACTCAGCTGGGATCTGAAGAACATGGAAGAAAGGAGAGGTGCATATGCTTGGTTTCATGTATTTATAAAACAGTTAACCTTTTTCATACCTTTACCAGTTTTGCATACTAATTCCCTCATTTACCTTTCTAGGCAGCACCATAAAAATAGAAGAGACGATTCCCCTTACTGATACTGATCCAAACAGTAGAAGTCATCTTTATTTAGGAAGGCTTTAATGACAAGCCCTGCCAGCCAATTCATTAAAATACATGCTTAAAATTAACTTCTACATTTCCATCTTAATTACAAAGAGCTAGTATCTGTTTTTCATTTCCAAGACGATTCTATCACTCTCAGTTTAGCGAGAACAGGGATGGCTTTATCCTCAAGAAGTTTGCATTGTCAGTGCTCGCATCATTTCTGTATTCATTCTGACAGTGATGTTGGTTGGTTTTAGGTACAGAGCCATCGTTAAACCCTTGGAACTGCAGACCTCGGATGCACTCCTGAAGACCTGTTGTAAAGCTGGTTGTGTTTGGATCGTCTCCATGATATTTGCTATCCCAGAGGCTGTTTTTTCAGATCTGTATTCTTTCAACAATCCTGAGAAAAACATAACTTTTGAGGCATGTGCCCCCTATCCTGTATCGGAGAAGATCCTGCAGGAAGCTCACTCCCTGGTTTGCTTCTTAGTGTTCTATATCGTACCCCTAGCTGTCATTTCTGTCTACTATTTTCTTATCGCCAGAACTTTATATAAAAGTACATCCAACATGCCAGCAGAAGAACATGGTCATGCCCGTAAGCAGGTAAGCTATGATCAAGCACTAACATGTCCAATTTTCCAAAATCTATCATGCTGATTAAGTCTGAGTTCTTGAGTGCAAAGTCTTTACCTGATAATAGAGTAAAAAGCTCCATAAACTCAGCCCACATTAGCAATCCAAATTCAGCTATGCACTTAAGCACCTGCTTATGACTCATTAGCTTAATTGTGAGTGTACATGCCTTCCTAAAGAGGGATGGGGTTTGTTTTGTGTTATTATGAACCTATTAAACTCAGGAGTTACAACGTTGAATTGTAAACAGAGACCTCATCCATGTGAGCTGACACATTAGCTATTGTACTTTTATATCCTAGTCCAGATGAGATTGCCACGTGATTTACAATGGAAAGGGAATGCGCCCTGCACTGGAAACACTTTGTTAAAACAATTATGAAATAAGATTTATTTTTCTATTGGGTTTGGTGGGTTTTTTTTCCATTTTGCTTTTTTGGCCACTAATGCATTTAGACTTTTAGACCCCTTTGAAAACCAGCACCAACTACATAAACATGTGTTACTAATTGCTATTAATACCACATATGCATTATTTTCTTGTAGATTGAATCCCGCAAGAGAGTTGCAAAAACAGTGCTGGTGCTTGTTGCTTTGTTTGCCTTTTGCTGGTTGCCTAACCACATCCTCTACCTATACCGCTCTTTTACATACCATGCTTCTGTAGATGCTTCTACCTTTCATCTGATAGCCACTATTTTTTCCCGTGCCTTGGCCTTCAGCAATTCCTGCGTCAATCCTTTTGCTCTTTATTGGCTGAGTAAAAGTTTCCGGCAACATTTTAAAAAGCAAGTCTCGTGCTGCAAGGCAAAACTCAGAACAAAGCCTCCCAGTGCTACCCACAGTAATACACCTACCAGAGCCCTGTCCATCACGGGCAGCACGCATGGCTCAGAAATCAGTGTTACACTGCTAACAGACTATAGTATCACAAAAGAAGAGGAAAGTGTTTAGTCTGTCTGGGACAAAGAAGGACAGAAACTGAGCCTTTGCAATCAAGTCACTACCGCTGGGAGCCTGGAAAAAGGTGCCATGCCTTGCCCTGTCTGTGAAAGCATTTTCATCAGGAGTTCCTCAGTTTTTTAAATATAAAATCAAGAAATTAAAATGTGTGGGAGAAGAAGCTGCAACAGCTGAACTTTCCAGCGTAAGCTCAAAGGGATTGTTCATGTTCCCAAGCACGAATACAGATCCCTAGCTGGAATTCCTGGACTGGGCAGGAAAGGAGTCAGCAGAGTTGGTGTGAGAATTGTCTGTGAGGATGGTTTTATTCTTTGTGACTTGTTGTTTGACTTGTAACTGAGAGCTCCCTCTGTCAAATACTTGCCTCTACAGCGAGGAAGCAATGCCACGTATCTTCACAACACCATCAAACAGGCAGATTTTTGATTTATTTATTTTCTTGTCCTGAATGTCAAAAAATGGTAAACACATCCGAAAGCATGCTAAAATGAAAGAAAACTAAGGTCTGTAGTACAGTGCAGTAAAAAAGAAAAAGCATTATGGGCCAGATCCACACTAGCCTGTGCTCCGCCAGTGACTTTGAAAATTCTGGGTAAGAGCTGACTGCCGTGTAAAGGGATGCCTTTCACAGTCCCTAAGGAAGCCAAGAGAACCAGCAGTGATCATCTCTCTTAAAAAGCTGTAATCATCTTCAACCACATTTGTAAATTTCTTTGCGATCTATGAGCAAAAAATCTCAAGAGTGCTGAGTTCTTTATTGTTATAATGATTTAACATCAAGAAATCGGGGTGGATCTGTATTAGAGTGCTACTTTGGATTCACAGTGCACCTTCCAAGCGAACTGCTCAAACACCCCCTCCTGCCTTACTTTGCTCTATCTCCCAGAGTGGTCTTGAGTGCACAGCCTGGTCTTCTCTCAGATGAAACTGCGCATCCAGTCCATGGAACCAGGCTAGAGTGAGTTTAAAGTAAAGCCCCCAAAAGTGTACGGTGGGGGGGTCAGACTAATCATTTCCCTCCACAGATCCACTCCTGCTGTAGTGTATGTGGTCTTATCTAAGTGGTCTGCATATTTTCAACTATGCTTGGAGAGCTGGATTTCTCTATTGTACTAATTTTCTGTTCTTCGAGTTATTCAAGTAATATCCCTTTTCAATATTAGGATGCACTGTCTTTATGCCATAGGCCTCCTAATCTCAAATGCACTGATTGTATGACTCTGGATGCAGAGGGAAGTCAGGGACAGCCCATCACAGGCAGCCTGTGCATCCCTAAAAACCTCAGCAGCACTGCTGGCAGGGACTCTCTTCCCATCAGGAAATACAGGAAGCAAGTCTGCCTACCCCACGTTACGTAAATCTCGAATGACACTTATTTTTATGAAGCTTGTGTACCCTGAACCAATATTGTGTTCTGTGGGAGTTGGTGATAGAAAACACAATAGATATTCCATTGCTTAAACTAAAGGACTTCTATCTCAAAAATGAATTTGTGCGTTAAAGTATAGAAGAGAGGTTGCAACATACGAATTAAACAAAACAGTGCTGTCAGTCACAGAAATTTCAATTTTAACTAACCCTTGAAGACACAACACCCCTCAGCTGCACAGAGCCCCTAACAACACATGGCTGGAAATCCATCCATCCACGCACCATTATTTGACTTCATTATAAGATGAGAAAATCTATTTGCAGTCTCTCTCTGTTGACTGCCCTAATCAGAACAATAAAACCCTATATAATCAGAACTATAAATCCCAAGGGCATTGGAATACAACCTCTGTCATCGTCTTAAACCAGTTTAATGATAGCTCATTTTAATCCCATCAAGCCTGGCCTTATTTTACTGCACTCTTCATGTTACATGCTGCAAGGCTATAAACACTATTTTTCAAATGGATTCTCCCTTTTATCGTACCATTTGTAGACCACGATGGAATGACTGAAATGAATGGAAATATAACAGCACAGAAATACAATTTACAGCAAACCAGACTCCAGAGATCTTATTTTACTCTCTTTGTCTTAATATAACATATTGCCTGGTAGTGAGCTATGTACAAACACAACAAACATATTGCACTGATATTTTCCCCTACTTTTTTTCTTCAGTAGAGCTGCAGCATGACATTGAAATAGGTAAATAAGCCTACAGACTTACAGGCCTACTTTTATCTTCCTGCATCTTACTACAGGGAATTCTGAAATCAATGAACATTACGGTTCCTTACATCATTCTTTATTATAGGTTATTAAAGCCTTTGGAATACAAATCTGCCACATTTCTGGACTTCACAATTTTTCTCTGTTGGAGACCAAATTTCCCACTGCAAAATCCTTTGCCTACACCTCACAGTATCCCTTAAAAACTACAGTTTCCTAACGCACCATTTTCCTTGCTTTGCATGCAGCTACTTTTCGCTTGTGTAACTACTCCTCTAACTGGATGGTCTATCTATTGCTAATATACTCTGTTACAAAATTGGTATTTTTGCTATATGCTGTACATGTTTTGTTTAAAGACTGGCAATATTTCAAGCCATAATTTAACCATTCTGTGTACTTTATGCTTTTATAATTCTGTACTTTCAAATCTTCATGACATGTTGTATTGGAGTGATATATTGGTCAATGTTTATTTTTATCTAAACAATCCAATATTATTCATTTCACCTATTCCCCCAATATAATTATCCATAAAATGCCTCCACATTACCATAACTGGATTTAGGGGGAAAAGGTGGTTTCCTTTGCAATCTTTTCTCAGTGTTTCCAAAACCAGTTTTTTCACCTCTAGGTAATACAAGTGTAATTCTGTAAGAGCATAAGGGAATAATGTCTATTTACAGAAACACTGAGTGTTACTTAGCAAAGAACAGGCATGAGGAATTAGGGTTTTACTATTTATATCCACAATGAAAGAATAGGTAGAAAAATGCCAGAAAATACTGAAATACAAGACTCCATCAAAGGTCTTGTTCATGGGGAGTCTTATTAAGTAAATACAATTTCTAGGATGTACCTTTTTTATAGGTTGTTTTGTGAATGAGATGTACACATTAACAGCTTTAATACATACAAATGTAACAATTAAAGTTCGCGTTAGCAACAGGTTTAGCATCAATACTCTAATTTGTGCTGTCAGTATGAGATGCTGGTGTAGTTGAAGAAGAAAAAGCCACAAAAAATGAACAAAGCCATGTCAAAGCGTGGATATAATCTAACAGACTGCATCTCCAGCAAATGGCACAGAATATTAGTCAGTTATGAAATTATAGCCATTTAAAAGCTCATCCTCCTGTTTTCATAGAAAGTATTGGTTTATTGTAGGTAGTTAAATATGGGCTGATGCTGACTCTCGTGTTTCTGCTAAGAATATCACAATTAAAGAATAAGCTAAAGCTGCACACAGCTATACCACTTACACATTTCAACCAGTGCTACTTATAATTACGAAAAAAAAATAAATACAGGCTCTAATCAGCATTTAGTTCTGGTCTCTGCCATAGATAGACGATCCCCTCAGTGCAAGGTGAACTGTTGTGGAATTCCCTTTGTCAGCATAGCAAATGGTAGTGAAATTTTAGCACAACTGGATCTGGTCCTGTCATTTTTTGCACTGTGAAGACTCCTCTTCACTCTCACTAATCTGTATAACAGCTACAGGGTCCAGCCCCATGGAAAGCACAAAAAGGAGTAACCTCTCTGTACTTAATCACTAGTTACTGCCTCCTTGATTTAAAATAACAAAGCATCTTAAGAAAAGAGCGTTAACTCTTTACCTAAGTGAGTATCAGCTAGTGAATTGCTGGTTCCCCTCTAATAGATAGCAAAACACCATGAAAACCAAGATTTCGGTACTTATGGTAGGTGATATCTCTAGACCAACAATCAGCTCTGATGAAGCAAAATTGTCTTTTATCACACAGGAGAGTCAGATACAACATACAAAATCATCATGCTAATGCCTCCTTTTAATATTTACTTTGAGACATTTTGTCAGGATTTAAAACGCCATTTCTTGACAGCTTATACTGACCTGAGCTGTGTAATACTCGAGCTCTTCGCACCATCCCCAGAACATGCAGCTTGTTGCAGCAGTGCTTGCGCAGCCCTGAATTACAGCATTTCAAGGATGTCATTGAGGAAAGCTGTCTTGACCCCAAAAAACGAAGAGTTTTTTCAGTAGAATCAGCTTCCTGAGCTGGCTCACTGTGCTGTCTTTACTGAAAAGAAAGAGAACAGATGGCAGTGACACAGCTGCCGTCACACATGCTGTTATCTGCAGAAAGTGTGAGGGAATTTGAGGTAGTTTGTCCTCATAGCTACATTAAAGTATGCAGATCAGATTTACCAGGCACTAACCCTGCTGCACACAAGCATGAGCTCAATTCCATGGGACTGAGATTAAATTTGGCTCTCCTACTCCCCAGGACAGTGCTCCAATGACTAGCTGGAGGCAGATCTGCACATTAGGGGAATCTGCACACTGCGGACACAGACCTCACTACATTTACTCAGGTTATGAATGTAAAAAAATGCCAAAATCAAGTAAGCAATTTAAGACTTAAATTGTATCGCTTTTACAGTGTTTAAGGCTATGATTATCTTATGTCCAAACATATATCCAATTCCAATATTTATAGGTAAGCACAGTTTATGTTAAGACTCTCATGCTCCAAAATCCAATACCTCTTTGAGACCTAATACAAATGTCTATTAAGCTGTCAGTTTATAAGTGATGACAAAACAATCTTTGGACAACTATCATAATAGCCCTGCCAAGAGAAAATTCTTGAAGTATGAAGATGCCATTAACTAGGCTGGATGTTCTTTGCGTAACAGCCAAAGGTTACTAGAAGTCTATATTTATATCCTTAGCAATTTCATCTGGTGGCCTGTTGACCAGCCAGTTAGCTCGTGTCGCTCTCTCCCTACAGAGCTTCACAAGCACAGGATTGTGTCTTTGATTTTATTATCATTCCAGTCTG